GCGAAAGATACCAATTTCCAGGTGTACCTCCTGGATGGATTATTCCGTTGGAATGCGGATAGGTTGGCTGATGCAGTTGCCTCTGACCACCAGGGCACTGTTTGTCCAAGGACGTACAGTGGGCCATTGAAGCAAAATATAAATCAGCTGTGGGAGCAAGTGTGTGGACGGCCATTCTTTGAAAATTACAAGCCACCTGCAAAGTACACAGGTTTGTAAAAATAGTTTGAGTATATATGTACATATATTATTAATATCAGTGTCCTCTTTTACATTATTTATTAGTGTTTATCATCATCAGCTCAGTTTTCTTCCCGTTTGTGATGAGTTGGTTGATGAGTTGGTCCCTATTTTTATTGCTCTTAGCTAAATCGCAGCTAAATGTAAGTTGTCAAAGTGCATAAGTTGACTTACAACTTTGGTGGTAAAAATGTTGACTTACGCGAGGTTTACTGTATTTATACATTGTAGGTGAGCTTGTTGGAATTCAATACCTGTACAGCCAGACAGGAAAGGAATTCCCCAGTTTTGGTGTGACTGTAGCAGAGCTGGTGCAGGATGATGAATTGGAGACAGTTGAAACTGGGGATGAAGAATTTGAGGATGCTGAGCAGCTGGTCGTACCTGTGCAAGAAGAAGCCACTGTACAGCCTCAGCCTCGGCAAATTCTTCATATCCCCAGTGATGAAGAATACCGACAAATGATGAGTGAAGGTAAATTTTATCTTAGTGTTCATCATTTACTTGACTTATGCAATATTTCAACATTTCATATACACTTCTGACACTTTGAATATGAAAAGCAACGCATCACCAATTTTATGAACAGAAGTGAAAGAATGATTGCGTGTCTGTTGTTGTTCAAGACCTTGTAATTATCTTGGGAGATTCAGTGTTTTAACGTCTTCTGGATTAAATGTTTATGCACTTTTGAGTGATACGTTTTGATGATCAGAAAACTTATCTATAATTTCATCCATAAAATCGTGTATTCTTAGATGCTTTTATATTCACTGCAGTGTGAACATAAATAATTCTAGTGCCTCTCTTAAACATTATTCAATTTAGATGCAGATGATGTACCCCCCATTCCCATGCACTCTATGGACACCATGCCAGAAATGCCTACCATTGTTCCATCTTTTAGTGACAGTGCAACACCCCCTCTGGTAGAAAGTAGCAGTGAAGTAAGTGATCATATATACGTATTGCATATATATATACGTATTGCATATAAAGTATGCACATGTTTGACACTTTTACCACATTTTGTGCAGTTATTTAACTTGATAGGCATATTTAGACAAACGTTTTTTTAAATATTTTATCCAGAATTTTTAAAGGTAATGCTGTAGTTAAATTGTAAATATTGAAATAATTTATATTTAAATCACTAATATGTCTGATAAATTCTTGTATTTTAAGATTGAAGCATGCTAATTAATAAGTGCCTGTTAAAAATAAATGATTGCCTTATTATTTTTAGGTTGTTGGACCTGATAATGTGCCTGGATATGATAAGGTTCTGCAGCTTGCTGCGTACCTAGTAGAACTGCGTGAGGTGCAAGCCCTTAGCTTGCACCAGGCTGAACAGGTCGCCTACCTGTGGACACAGTTGTCCGACTATGACAAAAAGAGGACGGTCTTCCCCAAGAGGTTCACCAAGAAGCCTTGGTCGGGAAAGTTTGGTGGGAGGGGAAAGAATGTTGTTCAAGGGGTGGAAAGCATCACTAAGTAAGTACAAACACAAACAAATATAGAGACACTAAGTACCATTTTAGTTTTAATATTATCTATTTGTGTTTGCCTTACACCTGTATGTCACCTTGACATGCAAATAGCCCAGCTACTGTAATGAACTGCTAGAGTAATGGTTAACTAAAAAGGATCTTTACAACTGGAGCAAATATTCACTATGTATTTAATAATAAGTTAGACATAAATTGCTGCATGTAGCCTGAATGCTCATATCTGTAAATTTTCACTAGTTCGATCATCTCATTTTTTTCAGGGTGAAACTGTTTGAATATAACCTAGCTTTCATTGTCAATATATTATCCTTAATCCTTTCTATTTGCCATGTTTCAGAGTTGTACTTGGGCCAAATCAAGGGCCAGCACAGTGGCCCAACTGTAACAGATACACTGAGGCCATTTGTGAAAAGTTGCTGACTATTTATCCCGGGGATCAAAAGCGGGATGGCCGGGTATGGACAAGATGGCGGCTTGTCCTTGGGGCATACCACAGCATCAGAAAGGTGGTCCTCAAATCTCAAAAAGGTATGCAAGGCACAGAGCTACAACTCCCCTTGCTTAACAAGAAAACCCTGCTACAATGGTAAGTATAAAATAATTTTCCTTTTGAACGTTTCAGAGAAAATGATTTTTGACTTTTTCTTTAAATAAATATCAAATGAAAACCATTTTTTGATTCTTTTAATGCATCAAATGGAATTACTTTAAAACTTTGACATTGAATAAAGATAAAAAAACAACATTTTTGTTCCTTTTAATGCATGAGATGAAATTACTTTAAGACTTTGCCATTGAATAAAAATCAAAGAAATGCTATAAATTATTTTAATCTTAACTTAAGCTTGCAAGTAATCAACTTGTTTTTGCGATAAGAGCCATTTTAATGTAGGCATTTCACTGTATATTAAAAATAATCTGTGACAATTTGATTTCAGGTACAACAAGGAAGAGAAGAAGATGGAGCAGAAAATCCTTCTGCAGGGCATCAGCATGCCTAAGCCACCTATGACTGGAAGTGGCTTCCCTGAGGCCCGGCAGAGACCATCTGTTCTGCCTTCTGTTCAGGCACCAGTATTTCAATTTAAATCTCCACAGAGTACTGTAGGCCCTCCACGAAAAAAGACAAGGTTTCCCCCTATAGCTCCGGCTTCAGCTTCAACTAGCAGCAACCCTATTTTCATTCTCCCAGTACCTACAGCTACAGCAACAGCTTCAGCAACAGCAACAGCTCCAGCAGCAGCAACAGCTCCAGCAACAGCAACAGCTCCAGCAGCAGCTACAGCCACAGCAGCAGCTACAGCCACAGCCAGAGCTCCAACAAAAGCCAAAAGAACCTACACCAGTCCGGAATTCATCAGATGTAGCAAATGTGGCCAAAACAGGAAGGATTCACAAACTCACAGATCATATATGTTCAAAATATTTTGTGCAGCTTCAGAAAATATTTCGTTTGAAGAATGGAGGAAGGAGGTGAAAGAAAAAATGGACAGGGAGAGAAAACTGAAAAAAAAATAGGACTTGTTATGAACAGTGTGTCTCTGTTTGATTTATTGATTTATTTATTTATTTTGCAAAACCAATTTTTTAATGCTGCCTTTTGTGCTGTTTTTCACATACATTTTAATTCATATGTGACAAAATAGTACAGAAGAAGGTTCCAAGCCCTTGTAAAAGCAGAGGAAAATTTTGATTTTGCATTGCAATTGGTATTTTATCTCACTTTGTTAGACGAATTTTTGTACTCATGAAAGAATTTTTGCTCAACAGATTTTGTGATTTAGTTCATAAGCTGGAAGTTGAATTCACAACAGGTAAAATAAGTTACTGTTATGATATATTTGGCCCATTAAAGCCTTTGTGACAATCTATTTTAACCTTCTTTAACACCTAATTTTTTTCCTCTTCTTTTACCTTCAGCAATTTTTTTTCACAGTTGCTCAGTACAGTCTTATGTGCTATGACCTTAGCTCAGTTGGGAGAGCGTCAGACTGAAGCCGGCTTGTGTAGCACAAGATGTCACCAGGTATCTGAAGGTCGCTGGTTCAATCCCGGCTCGCGGCATTTTTCTTGTTATTTAATGTCAGGATATATAACGGTGATCTTGCATAAGTCCTAGCGAAAAAACAGAAGAAATGGGGCAAAGAGAGTTGAAGAAAGCTTTTATTTTCATTTTTGCAGACTTAAAACTGATTTGCATTTGTTATTTAAATTGATTTCTTTGAGTAGAATATGTGTTGCTAATTTTAACTTCTCTTCGGGGATTGCATCTAGGAATTCATATATATATTTCATATCACCACAATGTACCCAACGATCATAACAACAATGATTCCTTTATTCGGTAAAAGTTTTAATCATGCGGTGCGTGCACTGCGATATGATGTGTCGCTATCAATTGAGTTTGGCATGAATAAAAGCGGACTTCACTGGCCAAGTATCATTCAACCTATACAGTATATTGCGTTTGTCATTTTGTTTCGTTGATTGATTTTAATATTACACGGGATTTAGGAGATGTAAATTGTCATCATCTGACCATTAAAAAAAAAAAGAATGACCTCCAACGAAAATGGCAATTAACTTGGTTTGTTCAATATTGCCCTTGACCCACGAATCAATATGTCGAAAAATCTAGAGATATTTTGGCATATGCTCATTTCTCATGACCATGATGCACAAGGTGATCACGACTTTTAGAAAACTAGGTTGTTTACGATCTTTTTATCACTGTGGAGGTTATCAGGACTTGACTGAACCGGAAGGAGGTGGGTTACGTCACTTTAAACGTTGCTGTGTGTGTTTGCACACACGAAAAAGCGCTGAAAAACAACGACATTGAGCGGTCTTACAGTGAAGTTCTATGCACAGAATATTGCATTGCTTTGAAATGTTTTCCTGTATTTATGTTTTCCTGTATGTTACTGTATTTTAATTAAAATTGAACAGTATCTTGAATTTATTTCTCAATCAGTTGTCGTTTGATATTAATTACAGATTAAGGAGTCTTAGCAAGAGTTACACGACGCCTATTCCATGTTTTCATGATTTTCACAAAATTCCTAAATTATCTTCGGTTTTGATACATACATCTATGATGGAACGAAAATACGCGCGTTTTATAAACGATTCTCACGTACTAGTAGGCTGATGTGCCGTTTATAATTAAAATGAAAAAAATATTAGGGTCTATAATCTTGGTCGACCCAAGTTTGATCACATGAGAGGGCGCTGTGTGTACTAGATGGCCTGTACTTAAGACCGAGTTCGAACATCGTCGGTCCATTTGTCTTCCCTGGAGAGTTGTTACGTTACAGAACAACAAGGTGGGTATTCTCACTGTCTTTAGGTCTCGTATTTATCTTCTCATTCGGTCTTTGGCATTGTATTCAAGAAATTCTGATAATTTGTCCTCTGATTTTCGACTACTGACTTTTATGGCTCTCAGATTGTAAAAACTCTCTCCCTCTCTCTCTCTCTCTCTCGCACACGCGCGCGCGCACAGACAGAGAGGGAGAGAGAGAGAGAGACATAATGATGAAAATAATAATAATGAAATAAATACAAATGCGTATATATCAGTTCTCTTTGAGCTAACTTTTTTTTCAGATGTCTGTTCCTTTTCCGAACTTTTGGGTCCGAAAGATAAGATCCTTCTTTGTCTTGTTCGACCGTGACTTAGACGGCATAGTGCACAGGGAAGATTACGTTGACAAGGTCATAGAGAGAGCAAAGAAGTATCTTAGCGAAGAGAAAGTGAAACATTTTGAGACTCTTATAGCGAAGGCATGGGATGAATTTTGGGGTGGGCCAGAAGGCAAGACTGCCTTGACCATAGATGAGCTGATCACTTCGGTCAGTCCCCGGGTTTTCTCCGATAGCCATTTCGCCGAGACGTGCAAAGAGTGGCTGACGGTCTACTTCCAAGGCGTCGACGCAAATGACGACGGCTATGTCACTCTGAGCGAATATACAGCGTTCCTGGAGTGCTTTAACGTCCACCCCTTTTCCGTCACCCCTTCGTTCGAGGTCTTAGATACCAATCACGATGGTCTGATCAGCCTGGAAGAGTTTATCAACACCGGTACGGAGTATTTTTGTGTCACAGCGGACACGCCAGCCAAACTTTTCTGGGGGCCATTTTTGGCGTAAAAACATGACTGTGCTTGAAGTTTGAAAACTGTGCATGTCATTCGAATGTAAAAAATAAATGCGTTAATTTTATGTTTACTTTTAATTTGTTCTTAGAGTAAAGAAAGGGTATGAGAATTAAGCAAGTTGACATACGGGGCTAGTTAGCCTACGTTAGTAAAGAAAATCGCATTTGCTTAAAAAAAAAATTAACCAAACCATCAACTGTCTTTTAGAAGTAATTTTAAAAATTTCTTCAAGTAATATAGGAAACAACTAGTGTTACTTAATCAGTATTTTCATATGTCACTGAAAGATGTGCCTTCAAATGGACCGCTCATAAGAAACAAATTTAAATGTGTTGATCAAATCCCTATTACGAGTTAATATTCTTGCGTGAGGTGATGCAAACTCTTTTGCTTAACCTTTTCAATGACGATTTTTTTTCTAAATAAATCAATATATCTGGCCTTCGTAAATGGCAAAATAAAATGATATTATATTTTACCCTGGCCAATTTAAGATACTTGACCTTATTAGCCAGGTGACACTCATATCAGTCAATGACACTCCTCGTGAAGAGGAAAATATGTGTGCCTGGGTTTTCAAGGTTGTCTACATTGCACATGGTGTTTTCTCATGAAAATGACCAAATCACCTGAGGTCACCAGTATTACGAACGTTCCATTTATCAAACCTGTCCGTGCCCTCGTCTGCTTGTACATCTACCGCACGTTCATCTACCTGGGAGTCCAATGCCCTGGTACATCGTAGTGGACACCCTAATCTTTTTTTACGTGCCGAAAATAACATCATCCTATCACTGCCCATCTCTGCCCATCTGTGCATGGGATAGTATCAGCTTGTATCATAGGGTTTGTCCATCTCAGAACGTTTATAACACTCTATGTTATAGAACCTAAGAAAGTAAACTAAAAAGTGCCCAATGTGCATCAAACAAAAACTGCCAACAACCGTGTATAGTACGTGTAATTGTGTCTTGAATGATGGGAATAGAATACCCCCTCCATGACCCCATTGTTTTCAATATCTTGTATGCCATCTTGAGACTTTTTGCCTCTGTTTTGTGCTTGCATAATTCGACCAGGTTTGAATGTGATGAATCTCATGGCTTGGTGATGATAACATCAACAGCAATATCATTGATGATGGTGAATATGATAATTATATTGATGAAAACCCAGAAAGATTGTTCGTAATTATTTACGCAAAGATACTGCTTGTTATCCCATGCTTGCTTTTGCAATACGGGTAAATATATATAGATCTGCAGCGAACCATAACTCGTGTAGTTTTTTTTTCATGGAGCAAATGGTTGTTGTGATGCACAGCGTGTAAGACTGAAATACGTCGCATCCTACTGCCTTTATTTAGATTGAGGCTATCCAGGGGTGGTACCGCCTCTGATGTGCTCACGCGATTCGCGCAATACTACAGGGATAGGCCTTCTTAATTTGAGCTCTGCATAACATTAACTAAAGAGCGGGTATTTTAATGCAGTTCACAAATTATATTTACTTATTGCATTTGGGGGGGGGGGGGTGAATGTCATGGTACGCTGACGTTTTTTGAAAGTTTTCGGCACCGCGTGTGTGTGTGTGTGTGTGTGTGTTAATACACCTGGTTTTGCCCTACAATCCGCTGAGCTTGTCACTTAAACTGTAGTCAGTTTGTAAGGAGTGACCTACGACACCGCTCCAGTTAAGAAAAGGTTAAGATGTTACTAATATGTAGGTCTGCCCGGTCTCCTTTTCTTACGTAGTTGAATAAGGGATCTTTAGACAGACAGACAGTAGTTAAATCTGCCTCGCCCTAGCACACTGTTAAAGCGCACTAGAAAATGTAAGTAGCGTATGTATATTTCCTTTTTAGGTTTGATGACTTGAAAAGTTTTCATAGTTGTATAATTTGTTTGCTTTTAACGCAAACAAAAAATATGACGAAAAAAATTAATTTGCCAAATACGTCGCCAATGAAGATTTAACGCTTTAAAAGAGACATATTACGTCTTTTAATGGCAATGAAACACAGTTCTCACTTTTATGTTGCAAAATATGTCGATAAGGGCTATACCGTCTTTCATCTTTGCACGAAAAGCTGAATACCTCTTTTGAGTGATTGGATGGAGATAGATAAGCCTCATATTTGCATCCGTTCATTACTATTTTGAGTTTGCTTTTTCTGCCACGGTGACGATCTTTGCACATGCTCAGTGAAACTAATTCTGGCGTTAATTGTGGATTTAATGTACATAAATCGTTGCTCCCAAATGCCTCCCGTACTTGTCGCCATGATGCAGGAAACATGTAGGTCTCGTCAGCCAATGGCACACTAAGGGACCATTCAGACTGAGAAGAGCCGAATGCTAGTAAGGCCGCGACCTAAATATGGCGGACCTACATGAAAGGAAGACTGCTTATCCTGTAATGGTCTCTCCGCCTCTCACACGTGGGGAGGCGTGTGAGAGGAGGAGAGACCATTACAGGATTAGCAGTCTTCCTTTCATGCAGGTCCGCCATATTTAGGTCCCGGCCTTACTAGCACTCAGCGTTTCTCGATCTGAATGGTCCCTAATTATTAGTCTCCTTCTGGTATAGCGGTGTAGCACAGTTAGTTTGCAGGGTATGTATAGTGCTGTCAACAGAAATATGTTACATGTACATGTAGGGGAAACCGGGGCTAGTTGGACCCCGGGGTAAGTTGGACCCCCATCAATTTATGACAAAGTAATTATGGGGTAAAATGATTGATCACATCATTTTGTGATAAGAAAGCGTCGGCAGTGAGTCCAAATGAAATAATGTAGCATCTTAAAGTAACTTTATTAAAGAGACTTGATGGGGGGGGGCAACTAGCCCCTAGTCCAACTAGCCCCGGTCTCCCCTAAATGGGTAGAGCAACTGTAAATGATTCCATTAACCATAGAACAGCACCCGACAGTAATTACAATTTATATTAGAAATAACACAGTCCTGGCATTCTGGTATATTTATTTTTACCTGTAATAACGTGATATGTAAACATGGAGTCGTAGGTGCAATTTTTACCAGGTAATTTCCTGATTGTGAGTACTTTACTTTTTTCGCGTCAACAAATTTTGTTATTTTGATTATAAGCATTGAACGTCAACGCTTATTTAATCTTGAATACCTAACCATATATATAGTCTTAGTTAAGGTGTAACTATTTTCTTTGAATTTCCTTTCCTTCCCACCAAAAGGTGTGTCTATTACTGAAATGCTCCACGTTATGGTCTTTTTAGAGGAGTAGCACGATGTATAAAAGGTGGACACTGAACCACGTTTTAATTTGCTATGTGATATTTCAGATGTCTGGCGTTCCATTTCCCGAGTTCTGGGTCCGGAAGATGCGGTCGTTCTACGTCATCTTCGATCGTGACCTTGACGGCTTAGTGCAGCGCGAGGATTACGTGGACTGGCCGGTGGGAAGGGCCAACAAAAACATGACCCCCGAAAAGGCCGAGTCCCTGTACGGCCTCGTGAGCAGCGCGTGGGACGTGTTTTGGGCGGGAGAAGAGAAAAGAAAGTCCGTCACCATCGACCAAATGGTCAAGGAGCACTCCCGAACCTTTGATACGCAGTCCAGCTTCCACGAGTCCCTTGAAAAGTGGCTGGAGATTTGCTTTGACGATGTGGACGCCAATGACGACGGCTGCATCACTTTGGAGGAGTACACCACGTTCCTGAAATGCTACGGTGTTCACCCCTATTCCGTCACGCCGTCTTTTGAAGCCCTTGACACCAACCACGACGGCCTGATCAGCAAGGAGGAGTTTAAAAACGCCGGTCGTGATTATTTCAAAGTCACTGCCGATACACCGGCCAAGTTGTTCTGGGGACCATTCAGGGCGTAAATTGAATACTTTGGGGGCATTTATTCTGATAGGTCTTCTCTCGCTTTTGTTCCGCTACAGACGGTCTGACACATGCAATATTAAGAAGTTTTCAGCAACTCTCACATCAAACTTTTCCATAGCACTCTACCGTTTATTCAAGGCTGGTTGAGTTTAAGGTGCCACATTACCAACACGTGATAATCACATGTGATTTGTTAAATCACAGTGAAAAAAAAGAGCAGAACAAGGACGTGACACAACCATCCTCAGAGTATTTGTATAGTCACAAAAAATATGTGTGGAACGGGGAATTAAAAAAAAAAAAAACATTGCTTGGCATAACCGCTTTCCACAGAAACATAAAAAACACTTGCATAATGGATCAGGCTATTTCAGCCACGACAGATCCAAGCGCATGCCTTTCATACTTAGCATCAATAAACAGTGAAAATAAGTACCTATATGTTGATTTGTTAATTGGTCACAGCTTGAAACCTGATAATATAATATATGTATATATTCCATTTCAATCAAGAGTATAATTTGGTCGCTGCTGCTTCTTTTTCTGTACCTGTACCTGTAACAGGCAAAATTAACATAAAGCACAGACACCTTCCAAAAATAGCAAGCAAATCCATGAAGGCGAAATATTTCTTCAGGATATAATGGAGTTAATTTTAATTTAAACACGTGACAGTCACTGGCAAATCAAGAATTCTACAAAGAGGGGAGGGGGCGGATGGTCCCGTTTTTGTCCTGCAAATATAAAATTGCAGTAATATGATTGTAGTAATATGGTACAGCGATAAAACATTACTTGGTTTTGTCCCCTTTCGCTTGTTATACCTTTTGTTTTGGAGGAGTGGTCCGCCATTGACAACCACATCCAAGACTACCTCTTATGCAAGTTTGTTTGCATGGAAATAACGTTACGTTTTCAATGGTATCATTTTTAGCATTAAAACGGACAGAATAGGCAGCGCGCAGTCGAGTTCCCTGGATAAAACCATATTGACTAATGTCAAAAACGGTTCAGAAAATTTAAGCTGATCCGTGCACGCGAATCAAGTTAAAAGAACGTGTTCTCTTAGATGAAAAAAGTTACCAAGTGCATCCAACCAGTCGTTAGTACATAAGTACATTTTAACAGAACTATTAGGCCTACAAGTCGCAGGTAAATGGTTCCGTTGACCTAGATAGGGCCTGATTTGAAACACCGAGGCTATTCAGTGTAGCATCTGAACAGTTGTCTTGGTCACAGTAGACGAAATACTGAAATGTACAGACAGCTTTTTCCTCCAGTAAGTTTTAAGCGTGATATCTAGCTTGCAACACAGATGAAGTGAGCAAGTCTCTAAACAAAAAGCCATTTGGTATGAAAGCATTCGAGAAACAAAAGCCGTAATTAAGAGAGAAAAAATGTAATAAACCTTTCTCAGTTAGCGACTATATCTCGTAACAAGATGCGTTGTTCGGTTTGCGATCTACAATGGAATACTAACATAAGTCACTGACGAATTCGTAAAAATTGTCCACCGTTCATTTGATGTGAGCTTGGACCCATTATACTTATAATATGTTATACTCTATATTTCGTCTTGAAAAAGATTGGAAAATTGCACGGCTTGTTAACCCTTTTTTGAGTTTGTGCTCTAAATTTCGAGTCACTGTAATATAACCGAGAAGGAAACAAGTCAATTCTACGCATAACGGTAAGGAATTGAAATTTTGGAGTCAAAAACGGAATAATTGATTGTAATTTCCTAGCAGTTCTGGATATGCAATACTTTAAGAGAAAATTGATATATTGCTTTATGTTATATAAAAGTCGAACGCTTACTGTATGCCTTTAAACTACATCAGTTACACAGAAAGTATCGGAATTTGAGATCGCGATCGGTTTCTCATTCCGCTTATCTCGGACTAAATTTAGTTATTGATCTTCACTTTTATGAGCGAAAAGTGACAGTGGAAGAGGGGATATAGGGGGAAGTGTCGAACGCGTGGCCAAGATAGTTTTTAATTGAGTATTTCCTATCAATATTTCGCTCGCTTTGCATCTAAACGTCTATTATACGTCTTATTTTCTGAAATTTGTCAAAATTGCCCAAACGTCTGATATGAGTTGCGTGCCGAGAAATATAGATATACGCGTAGTCCTGCTGATAGACGAAGATCGATCTAGCAGCGCTTCATTAGACGACACGATCACGACCAAACAGAAATGCCAGATGAAGTTACAAACTGATCAAATTCGCTGCGGGTCGTGACTCTTTCACTGATTCAATTTTATCATTCGCACTGGTCACTAGGCAACACAATGCGATGTGACGTGTTGAAATTACCGAAGGAAGTGAAAATGGCGGGAGGCGTACCACACCTGTAGAGATAGCTGAAGTATTCAAACTTGTAGACACTCTAGAGGAAGAAAATATATAAAATGATGATATTTACCAATTTTTTTACCCACATTCTTTTCCTCGGTTTAGGAGTGGCATTTTTTAAAGGTAAGTAGTTTAACGACACAAAGTGGCATATCTAAAGTATAGTAAGTGTGGAACGACCTATGTGAGACGGGTATCAGATGTTCAAATAGAGCCCATTTGAGAAGAACTTCATGCTGCACCTACGCCTATAGGTTTTCGCGCACAAATACAGTTTATTCAACCTCTTAACCAATATTTTAGATTGCGTCTCAGTTGTATCTTGTTAAGAACTACAACGCTGGTAAATGGTTCTGCTTTAAAACATCTTTTAAATGTAACAAAGAGAAAATGTATGAAAAGTTGTGGGCGATTGCTTTCTGTAATATGATTTTTTTCATGAAAACGACATCGACATATATAATTCTTTATCTCAAACATAATTGCATCGATTGTAAATAGAATACCATATCGTGAGTCATATGGTGTTATATAATATTTGACAATATTTGTAAGGATTGGTTGTGCAAACACTGGTTTGGAGGCAAGATAGTTCGAACGCTTTAGTATAGTATAGGTACACATATTTATGTTATTATGTTTATTCAAAAGTCTATTCAACAGTTCTGAATGTAATATTTGTATAAATCTGTATTCTTGTCCTGCATTGCTTTCAAATTTTACTGTTAGACTTTTTCATCGCAGCTGAAATTATACAACACAATGAACGACTGGAACCGCTACTACTAATGTGCAATGCAAGTAGACTCGCGTGTACCACCGCTTTTGGGTTATCAAATTTCTGCTTGATATTCCAGCCTCGCACTCCCTAAAGTGCTATCAATGCCAGAACGAAGGAGAGAATAGCTTGTGTAGTAGTAACGCGACTCTGGAAGAATGCCCTACGGGATTTGATACATGTCAGACGACACTCCATTTTTCTGGTAAGACGAGATTTAAGGCAGAAATGAATTAGCAAAGCTTTGCTCCTGTTCTTCTTATGAAGTTGTCACTCATAGTTGGCCTCTGGAAGAGAGTTTATAATGAGTCTTTGTCGTATCTGCGGTATTTTATTTAAAGGAAGTCCACTAATTACTTGACATTCTCGTGTTTCCCATTACGTGTTTTCCCCTCATTACAGTTTCGTGCATTGTCAAATAAGATAGTAACGACAAAATGGATCATAATTAAGGCCATTTATCATTGTAAAACCGAGACAACATTTTGTCGAAGTTTCATTTTAGATTTTTTTGCTTGGAACCAAGCCAAAGACTCAACCCAAGGTGTTTTAGCTATCCGTTGAAAGGCTTTGAATAAGGAGTTGGAAAATATTGCCGATTTTCAAAATGTACTCGAGCTATATCACTGATTGGATCGGAAGACCCCGTTTGAAATTTACCACATTATTCCAGACGCATTTCAGATATTTTCCCTGAACAAATTCAATCAAGGGTGCACCATGCCTGTTGTGTCATCCGTTGCCCGGAGCGGAGAGCTAAGCACGAAGTCGGTTGAACTGAGGGAAAAGTCAGAACACATTTCCTAGTTGTGTCAAAGATTTTGAGTCATATTAAATCGCTAAATATCTTGACAAATGATTAATGAAGAGCTAAATGACATTGATAGCGTAGACTGCACTGCATCTCATGTCTTGGGCATTCGACTGAAGGAAATTTTAATTGATTGCTATCAATTGAAGATCGATTCGTAAATCTAATCAAAATAACCTGACTATAACGGAAATATCTGATTCAAGGACATATATATATATATATATATATATATATATATATATATATATATATATATATATATATATATGGACCATTAAAAAGTATTATTTTTCATAGAACATGAAAATTCAAACTTGCCTGGGATGACAGAATTTTTAACAGCTATAAACCTGCAGATGACAGATGATTCTCTAATGGGAAACTTATTTAACTGTCATTGTTTGATCGGCTACAGCTTTTTCACAATCATAATAATAGTTTCTTTGCCGCTAGTATTTCTTTTAGAGATAGTCTACAGTTAGACAATTTCAGAGATCAGCTCATTTCGCCGCAGTGATAAATCAAAAATTTGGAGATAAAAATGTAAGTTTGATTAAAGGTATTCTTTACGGGGATTTCGAGCCAAATTTAACTTTCCTCGTTGTTTCTACTCATGAATCATTGCTCGTCCTGTCCATGCATTGGATTCTATGTTTTGTAGGATTTCTAACCTAAGAAATTTGTTATTATTTAACCATGACTCTTTTGGACTGTTTTGTCCGGGCATTTTACAGATGTAGAAGGAAATATAGACAGCAGGCACTTTTAATTGAAAGTTTTATCTTTTTTTAAGGCTCTGAATTGGATAAGTAGCTTTGCAGGATATTAAGACATAAAAAGGATGATGTTGGAGTATTTGCAGGCACGTAGAGTCTATCTTTAATTGTGGCTAACGTTCATTTTCCAGAAGCATTTGGGTCGATATTTCCATGTTTGCCTTGGCCTATTCCACCTAATTTAGGTGTCAAAAATACAAATGAAAAGATCAATCACGTCCACCACGATTATTGTACTGTTATCCCAATGTCCTTGGTAAGTAAAGAAAGATGAGTTCTCACGCGCACTGTTTCTAATGGGAATATTCGTGACATATGCTGGCGAGATCTTAACGCTCTAGATAGCACGGGGTACAGACAATATGATATAATATTACATGTGCGTTGTTATCTTGAGAAAATACTGGCGTCAACCAGCATTTCAACTTTTTTTTTGCCTTTTTTTTTTGGGGGGGGGGGGGGAGGGGGTACTTACTTTCACAAACAGTCTATTTGCCGTGCTTGCTCGGTCTGGAGATGCGATACCTTCAGGCCTTTGTCTCAGGGTGGCAGACATATGTTGAAATATTGTTGGGTTTTAAAACTGTAAAAAATGACCCTTTATTATTTTCGCATGATTGAGTATTATTTTTGAACCAAAAATTAATAGCAGAAAAGAAATATTTACTTACCTGCAGGCTGTTGTGCATCAAAATAAGTACGCGTGCTTTGTACCAAAATCACCCCCTACACAACCAATCGATTTACGTAATAGACGGCAAGAAATCACATTACGTGACTCCATAACATTTAGCAGACTGAGTTTCTAGGGGATCTGCTATATGCAGCCTTATGCACATTCAATTTGATATCTTGGTTGTGGTATTGGTTTGATTTTAGTTTAGTTTCAAATCTGGGCCTTTGCCGAGTTTTTATTTCGTTCAAATCAAGGAGTTATAACTCCTTGTTCAAATACAGTCCAAACTTGCATGTAAAATCCCCAGCCCTAGCAAGTGTACAGCTAAACCGAATCGTCCGACTTTCTTCTTTGTTTTCAAATATACTTTATACGGGTCACAGGCTTTAACCTTTGGTATCAAATGAAGATAATGGCCTTTCATATGGGGGAGGGGGGCTATTTTACATTGGCACAACACTTATGGTCTTAAAAGCGCATGTGTATAAAGAGGGTCAGTAGATAATAAACTAAGGCACGACATAGCATAATGTATTTTGTGGTTGTCCCCCATCTCACTACTTTGAAGTTAGACCATGTTACGAGCCAGGGCGCACTTGCTAGCTGACCAAGAAGAATGCGCCCTTTTCAGTTTGAATGACCTGTAGGACCTGCGCGTGTGAACATCGTAGCTGGCCAATAAACTTGAAATTGTCAAGAAAATACAATGGTAAAATATGTGTCAAATAGACAGATAAATAGACAAATAGAGAGATATACAGATGAATAATATACATAGGAAAAAATAGGGGGAAAGAAAAAATATGAAAGTAGGATGAAAATGAAGCTAAAAAATTATTTATACAAAAAACAAACAGAAAAACATGGTAATAAAGGAGAAAAGCGAGTAATTGGTGTCAAATGAATTATAATACGCGTGTTAACAAAATTCAGAAACACGATGAAAACGGTAAATAATTAACCAAAATTATCGTTTAAAAAATCAGTTCAGGTTTTTGTCATTCAACGCCTTTCTTTTTCAGGGGATAGCAACCGGTTGACAATTAATAAAGCGTGTACGACGAACAGCTCATGTCAAACCCAAGCCAAGGTTATAAGCAACATGGGCCCCTTTAAACTCAGCTGCGACCATTCAAGATACGAATGGCTGTGTACAACGTGCTGCTACGAAGACATGTGCAACTTCTCTCAAGGACACCGTATCACCTTCCAATTTGTATATTTAGTGTTTGACTTAATGATGGCTTTTGCCACAACATGACTCTCATTTCCCGGTTGCCTTGGAAACAGCAACTAGTTAAATCTTACAAGGTCGTTCATTCATCTGGGACCTTTTTTAACAAAAGAAGTTAAACCCGAAAACTAGTGTCTATAGTAGTCCTACAAAAAGAAATACTATTACAACAAAGGCCTGGGTAATGCTTAGGGCTTTGTTAGAATTGAAGAAGATCAATTTTTGGTCTAAAAGTTGAGACCCATTATTGAGCTTCAGTCCTATTAAAATTACAAACACGAATATAGTCTTCGCCTATAGCGATCTCTTGCACGCAAATGGCGGAAGAGAGGAACACACTGAAATACTATAATGTGGGTATAGACGGTGATGTAGTTACTGTCCCTATCGCCCATCTTTCGAAGACACACATGCAAAAATTTTATGACATTTAACAAGTGGTATAAACAAATCTCAAATAAAAAAATCATTGAAACAAGGTACTATCCCAATGCAGTGCATTCATCAGACAGTGAAAATCGTAACTTCACTTGCTTTATACTTTTACAGAATGTAAAATCCACTACGTCTTCGTCAACAATAAAGATAGGAAACCATTGCCCGTGATGCAAGAAGTATCGTTTTATCTATAGATAGAAAATTAACTGATAACTTCTATGATAGCTGTGCACTTGGGAGTTTGTTCACAATGAGCAAATATGGAAAGTAAGTTAATGATGTGCGTATTCCTATCCTCATCGTAAAATATTGATCTGCAGACCCCTTGCCAGCGGTTAGAAAAGGACGAGGCAAACTACCGCTGTTACATGGATGTAACCTTGACAAAAGAAAATATTTTGGAATTCTAGGCAAATGCCACATCCGCCTCAACCGTGGCGAGGATTTGTACAGACACATTTCCAAACAGCCACTTTTCTGCAAAAATATGATGAGATTTATGCATGTGGCATAAACATGTTTAGTTCTCTAAAAGAAAAATAAATCCTACAAGTTGGCTAAAATTTTCAAATACTTTTACTCAATCGCTTGGACTCCTGCAATACACAAAAGGTGCTTCTTGCAATGTGTCACATGAAGTTTATTATTACATATAATTTTAACAGAAATCATTTGAATAATTTAACCTCTCACATGAAATACTGATAAATTTAACTGCCGATTTCTTCAAAAATGCCCCTGATAACAATGATACATTAGATAACAGATGTTCACCTTAAAATATGTAATCATGTGAAATAATAAACACACTTAAACAATGTCTTGTGTTTTGCACCTTGAGAATAATAGACTTAACCAATTACAAAAATGTATGACTGTATAACAGATATGAAATATTTACAAAGTTTAAATCACAGTTTACCTGAAGCACTTCATAAAAATGTCAATATATGGTACATGTATATAAAACCTTCTAAATTAGAGTCAATTAGATTTCCAGGCTATAATCATTGCAAAATATTCTTTGATGTATAATAAATGTGCAGAGATTTAAATAAAACACACATTAATGGTGATAATATTAGATGTTGTGACTCTGATAGGAATGTGAAATGCCCTCAAAATTTCAATCATTTAAAGGAGATTTCATTTATAATTTCCAAGATATATGTGAGACAAACTAAGTTGAACTTTCAAGTAATCCTGGAGTGAGAAAACTCATAACACATATTGAGGTACTCATAAAACTATTAGAAATACTTTATAACAAATTTTTTTCATTATTTTTTTCAGAATAAAGGTTGACACTTACTGTCACTTATATAATTACTGACACACATGAGAAGTAGAGATAGAAAGGAAATGATCATATAAATTAATTGCTTCTGGAATGATATCAAATCAAATATTTGAATGTCAGAATCCCTGTACAATTATGACTTCATAACCAGCACCTGTTGTGATTACTGGAATATTCTACACTCACAATACAGCAAGTTTTGCTGAATAGTACCAACTAGTAATGCCCCTTTGTAATAGTTGGCTATAGAAGCACCACTGATAACACTGCCATTGTTAGCATACACTGACAGCATGGAGGACACAACTCCATCTTTCACTTCTAGCTTTAAAACCTAAAAATAAATAAATTAAATTATATGTTTTCCCACAAATATTAGTATCTGATAACATGCAATTCGGCCTCATTTATCTATATATTGTGCTAGGTGTTTCAGGTAAATTGTGTTAACGCCACTAAGGCCACATTCATAACAGCGGACAAACAGATCCATGGATCAAATATGGCGGCCCACTTAAATGCTTGCTGCATAATCCTCTAACAGACACTGAAAAGATTCCTTGCAGGGATTAGGCTACAAGCATTTAAATGGGTCAGACTTATTTGATCCACAAATCTGCTAGTCTGCTGGTGTGAATGCCGTCAAAGGTGATTTTTTGATCTATTAGAACAAAATTTACCAATGCATATTTCCAGATGCATTCAGAAACACCCATTTTCATGATAATTGCTTTAAAAATGTTCAAGATCTATACTTACTAAAACAGGAGCTGGATGCTCAGGCTTGTCCAGATGTTGTATGATATCTATTAATCTGGGCTGTCCGCCAAGCCATATGTCTCCAGTCTCAGTGTCCACCCCTATGTTATCTATTCCCATGTGGGTGTCAATGCTCTGACAAAATAATACATAAAAACATACATATTTAATTTAATAATTTTTATCCATCACCAAAGGTAAACTTATCTTCAACTAACTTGTAATGGTACTCAACAGCAGATACAGTGTTGAAAGTGTACAGAGAATTACGCTGGTTGATCTAGAATTTTGTTACAAGGTGGCACAGGATTGAAAGATGAGGGGTAATGAGGGTGGCAAAACATGATTGTTCTACACGGGTAGAGAGGAATAAGGTTCAACTTTAATCTTAAATATAATGGGAAATTAGCTGTAAATTCAGCCCATCATGTACAAGATTAAGCCATTACTTACAGATTTGAAAACTAGACTGCCATCTTCATTTCTTGTGTAAGTCTTCAACTCCTTAGATGCAGCCACATACAAAAACCTAAAATATTCAATTTCAAAATGAGCATCATTATTAAAAAATGAAGAAGGAAAATCACAAGTTTTATATACAGCAATGGTCCTTTTTATCAGCAGCAAATAATTTTGCAAAAAAAGAAATATGAAATATAAATCTCTCTCTCTATATATATATACTTTTGGATACTTTGGACAAATCTGCTACAGTATGTTAGCAAGTCGGCATTAAGTTCAAACTAGAGGATCAGAGAGGCGATACCAGATGAAAGATGATCCCCCCTCTGCATCTGCCTAAGCAATACAACAAAATCCACTTACTTTTTATTAGGAGACAGAGTGACACCATTGCAGGAGTACAGTCCATCTGCTGCCATTTTAGCTGTTTCACCATCATAGTACACAACACTTCCAAACGGTAGAGTTAGGTATGCTTCTAATGTGCGTGACAGGAAGCTTTCTCCACCCCATATATTTGAGACGTAAAATGAGTTTGGACCAGAGGCTGTTACATCATTTAAACTGACAAAACCAGAAAGAGAAAAATGTTAAGGACCTTCAAAACTGCAGAAATGTAAAGATGCACTAGTAAAATGTTAGATCTGTAATTAAAATACAAAACATTTGAAGCACATTACACTTGAAGTAAGTTTAGAACAACACCATTTTTATCATTAACACTGGGAAAATTGTTGATAAGTTTCATATGTAGCAAAACTTAAGAGCCCAGTGCAAAAGAGTGAAAAAAAATAAATAAAGTAAATAAAATTAAAAAAAAAACAAATAAACAAAGTAAAAAGTGATTTCGGGCTGCACATTTCAATGTTTCTCTTATGCTAAAACTAAATGAGGGAATTTCAAAAGATCATTAGAATTGATGTATTTTGAGCTGAGTTTATGGTGAAGATTTCTAATAACTGAGAGTCAGGTGTTTATAAGGGCACAATTTCAATGCCTTTTTCTACATATATGGCCCTGGAATAACTTCTTTATAAACAGTTTTCTTAAGATTGTCACAAAAACAATACTGCTAGTCAGCATAACTAACATTTATATTAAAATTGGTGCAAAAATGTACCCAGTACTTACTTCACAAACAAAGGATCCCTTATGCTTACAACATGATTCAAAGTCTTGGACGATGGATCATATGTAAACTTTTCCACAGTCTCTCCTAACTTGTGGTGACTAATAGCAAACACTGTTATTTCTCCTGAAATGATTGCATTAAAAACTTCAGAAGTTGCACTAAAAATAATTATGAAAATCACCTCTAATGCCAAGTAAGTTCAGTTAGATTTTTTTCTGAGTTGAAGATATGCTAACATGATTTTACATTCTACTTAGTATTTCAATCCAAACCTAATCAAAGGATGTCAAGGCATGTGTCACTGGTTAGGATGAAATAATGTTAAATGATCACCTGATGCTGGGTCTTCCCAAACACCAATCCCATGTGAAGAGAAACTTTTAGCATCAAATTCCTTATTAAACTTCAGCTCCACTGGATCTTTGGTTGGAGTTTTAAAGTCAAACAGATAGATGGCGCTCTTGATGTTTTTTTTTGGTAGAGGCACCTTTGATCCTGTCATGACATTGCTTCTGTACCCCTATAAATGATTACTGAAAGAGTTTATTTGCTTTTCAAGAAATTATTAAAAAGCACACAGCTTTTATGGTCTATTAAAATATCAAAAGCACATGTTGTTTTAAGGGCATTCCGTGTGTAATTTAAGTCAAAATAAAAAATACAGGTACAATCTTTTATAATAAAATAACTCACTGAAAAAATAAAAACTATTGTACATATGCAATGTAATTGACCTTTGTTCCTGAAAAAAAGGCACATTTTCATTTTTATCAAATACGTATCTGATATATAGATACATGTATCATTTTACCACCAGCATACCTTCAACTAGTTTGAATATAATTTTATATAGAAATGTCAGCTTGTGCACAGAAATGACATTGCCTTTATATCTTATTTTCTATTTAGATAGCCAGTGCATGTGTCCAAAGGCATACTTGACTTTTCTGAAGTAATGAAATCAATGACCCTTATGAAAACTTGCATTTTCATTCAGAGAGAAAATATACACAAATAAATGTTCACTTTCACCTGGATTACGACTAGTGAAGAATTTAATTGGTATACTTGGCTTTAAAATGCAAAACTGGAATGGTCAGTTAATACTTAAATATTGCTAAAGATGGAAGAAATTCAAGTATGTTATCTTTATTTTTTCTTTATATCTCATATATACTTCCATTCATCCAAGCTTATTGCATAAAAAAATACTCACAGTTGATATAAATACACGCCCATCTGGTAAAGTCTGCAAATCTTCTGATCCTTGAACTGAAAAGAAAAGGAAACTTTAATAAACTTATTAAATATACCTTTAAGTTTTCCACTTCTATTAAAAGAATAACTTACCATATAAACAGCCTAATCAACCTAAATTAACCTGGATAACCCAACTCTCAAAGAGACCTGTTGTTTCCCAATTTTCAGTCAAACATTTCATAACTTGTGTCGATAAATGTCAATGTCAAATTTTGACCACAAATAAAATATGCATGAAGCATCACTGTCTTCTGTATGTGACAATTAGAAATGTGGTGATATTTATTATGCTAATAATACAATAAACCTTATGTATAAAAACGTGTACTGGAATTAATTATAACCCTGTTACTTAAAGGACAAATATCTACATAATGGCTACTGTTAGCTGGTATATAAATGTGCAGCTTTTTTTTAATTTCATGTACCGGTAGCACAAATTTCATGCCTTTGCACTGTACACATTATCATAATCTACAAAATGAGTTATCATACTAGTACCTAATTTAGGAATGGTCCTGCAAGGTCCAGGTATCTGATTGTATACAGTCACATGAAAACCAACATGGTATCTGAAATGTGCATTTACACAAATACATTATATTGTTTCAGCATATCCATATTATGTACAAATTGGCAGATACAGTAGGGGTGGAATTAATCTGTCATTTTGCCACCAACTTCCCAGTTGCTACTGTAAGAAAAAGGGTAAAAACTATATGGTGCATGATGCCATAATGTGTATAACAAATATACCTCTTTGTCCCTCTATCTTCTGCCCCATAGAATGTGCAGGAGGCAGGAAAATATCCCTGTACGTAAAAAGACCACGTGCCAGATATATCAAGTCACACTGGCCTATAGCCAGCAATTTCATTTTTAGTGGATCTTTTACCATATGAAACCTATGCATACCTATAATAAATTTTACCCAGAGCAGAACTTTTCCCAGCAAAAAGGGCAGTTCATTCGACCCCCCCCCCCAGGACCCCCTGGCTACGGGTCTGTCACACCTTTGTCACTACAGGCCATTGACCATCCCAGTACTGTATGTATAAATCATGACACAGGGTACCAGCGAGGTGGAGGACAATGTGGGATTTGCATTTACTTATTAAACTGTAAGTGCCACTAACTTTTGCAACAGTAGTAACACATGTACTAGTCGGGGCATCTTAGCGGGGAAGAGGTCACCATGTCGGAATCAAAGACGTGTAAGTTGTGTGAAGGGGCTGCATGATTGGGGGGGGGGGGGGGCGGAGAGGTGTACACGGAACAGCTGCTTTTATAAAAGTTAAAAATCATGATGTTCTAGCTGAATTTTTTAATGAGAAACTTGGTTTAAAAGAATCACAACCTTTGCACTGATTCGTCTGACTCGTGACGACTACCACACCGATTAACAAAATCACGATTCACGTTAAGGGGGGCGTCCTTGAGATACTGTACGGTACCGGTAGATCTAAAGATGAGATATGCATTTCAAAGTTATGCCACTATTTTGCATCAAGCAGTGGTAGATACTTACATCAATCTCGCAATATGCTGTGCAATAACAATGAGTAAACTAACGACGACAATTTTGACATACATTTTGTCTAAACGCTGGAGCTAGAGCAGGTGAGCACATGCACGAAGCAGAGTTAAAAGCACATTGAATTGAAGTTTCGTATTTAAAAGACACGCATATTGTATTGTGTGTAAGATGGATCTTCATTGCTTCAAAAATTACACATTAAACTCGTTTCTTGAAATTTTGATGCATATCCATCCGATGACAGTAAGGGTACCGTGAGCTTGTAAGGCCGAAAATTGAGGCAACCAAAGATTACATATCAGTAACACCTAACACATTTGCCGAAAACTGAGGTGTGATAATCAAGAGTGGGCAGAAACATTAATCGCGGATAAGTCGGGGGCAAATGATTTCATTTTAAGAGGTCAAAGGTTTTGATCGATTAAAGGGATAACAATTGTTCATTTTGGAAAAAAATTACTAGGATAAACAGCAATTTCCCCATTCTTACCAATGGTTAATGAATCTATTTCTGCAAAGCTAGAGCTAGTCCCTGTTTTTTTTCTAAAAAGTTTGTTTTTTTTGTAAAAATCTCTTAAGAGAGATCATTTTACGCCCACGTGTTTGTGTTTTGTAAGCAAATAAAGGGATGGCCATTTCAAGTAAAAAAAAATATATATATATAAGAAAGAACATACAGTACCACTGAATCGCCTTAATACAAATCATGATCATTAGTTGAGCACTGTGGAAATATGTGCAAGCTAAATACTTTCAGAACCCTACGACTCATTAATAATGGAAAAGTGATAGGAAAATACATTTGGGTAGATCAGATCTGGGAAAATTACTTTCAAACTAGAGATTATTATTCTTTTCAATGCCCACGTTGATGATTCTTTCAATAGCAGTAATTGTCAATTGTATAGAGTTGAAAACTTTGTTTCCTAAAAGTTATCTACCACTGGTCACATTTTCCGCGAATTAAAAATTCATTGACACTTTCAAATTTTGAGTGTACTGGTAACAATACCAACTATGCCTTGCATCCTTTACAGACCATAATGTAACGTATGTTCCACAGTCATAGAAAAGAAATGAAAAACAAGTTTAATAAATAGAGATAACATTTTTTTCAGTTTTTTTTGTAGAATTTAATGAGGTATTTAAAAGTAACTCAGACATCAAATGTGATAACCTATTAGACAACAGGATCCACACATCAAATGTTTTAATCATTTGTATGTAAAGGAATGCAGATCCTAGAAACATCAAACTTATGACCTCCTTTTCAGCACACTTGTAGGTTTTCCAACACAGTAGAAAATTCGTTCAAAATGAACTTTACTAACATCCTCTCTGAAAGGCCTAAATTGTCTTGTGGATTTCAGCACTTTTGGGAAATTAAAAAAATATATATAATGTTTGTTCCATCTATAAAAAGTAAGTGACTCACAAAATTGCGTTTTTAAGTCTATCCATTGAGTGGGTGTAAGAAACGGATCTCACTTTAGACTTCAAGAGTCAGACCCGTAGCCAGCAATTTCAGAGGGGGACCTTTTACCATAAAATCCTCAAATACATAGGTCAAATTTTACCCAGAGTGGACCTTTTCCCAGCAAAAAGGGTGGTTCTTTCGAACCCCCCGAACCCCCCTGGCTACGGGCCTGAGGGTCTCTATGGTCCCTATCAGTTGCTATTTAAGACAAACACAAATGATAGGCTACAAGAATAGCGTCCAGGTTGCTTGGTGTGATTTTAAACATTCGTTGCAATTTTTTCACCACTGATGGTTCCTCAACACAACACAAGATATTGTCAAAAGGTATCCAAATGGTGTCATCGCTCTTCGGCCATTGGAAGAGACTTTTCCGTTTCTCTAAAAAGTTGATCTCTGCCTCTCTGTCTGATTTGTCGATATCTTGTACTTTCCCCAGGTACCATTCTTTCTCACAGATCACTGCTGCAAAATCACCTACCGTTACCACCACCATTTGTCCAGTGATGCGATGGGTTATGCCTTTTTCTTTGCTCAATCTTGTTTCAATTTTTATTGGTACAAACAAATGTGTGCCTTCCCAGATGTCACACAATCTGCCCTGGATACACAACAGCCTTTAGAAGCAGCGCCATATTCTGGTGCTTTGTGCAAAGACAGCTGTGTCTGGCAATGTGATGTTGACAGAATGTGCCTGGGTCGAAGACATCGAAAGGTTTCCAGAGATATCTTTATGTTTGGATTTTCACTCATAAACTTGAAGTATAAGGTTAGCAATGTAATCTGTCAGCACTCTAGTTTACATTTTCTTTCTATCTTCTTATAATTTGTGCACATCTTCTTTTTCCAGTTGGGCTCTACTATTTGTCATCTTGTACAGCTTGCCTGTTTTTTTTCTGCTACTCACATCCATCGACCTTTTGACCAGTCCTCGGCAAATGATTACGGCACATGCCAGTAGCAGTGGAAAGAAATCTGAGACAACGATACTTCCTCACAATCTTCCCAGCCACTATATTACAATTACACAAAATTTTCATCTTACTTCTTGGTGTAACTTGTTTAGCTTGACCCACTGCAGCTCCTAAAACATTTCCTATAAGTAATTGCTTCCACACAGTGTTAGCTTGGGTCCTCTTTAACATAGCCTGCCGTATGGTGCGTTCTGTCTTGGTTTTGGGGTTTGTGGAGAATTCAGGTAATTCCATATTTCGTCTTCTACAATGGCTAAATTGTTGCCTCATAGCGTTCTCCCTCTTTCTCATGGCATTTACTTGTGCCTGTAGTTCTGTAATTGTTTTTTGTGCCTGCCTTAAGTTTCTTCTCAATCTTTTATCTCCATGCTGTGGCCACCTCACACATACAACAAGCCTCTCTGGTGGTGATTGCTGTGGACTTGCCTTGGTAACTTCTACAGCAGCTAGGAGCTCTTCTTTCCTTTGGTGAAGTCTAAGTTTTCGTGCTTTAGTCTTCGCATTTCTCTTTTGTCTTTCACGGTCGGTTAAGGACGCGGAAGGCACATAGTATTTTTGAACTCTTTTTCTTTCCCTTTCCAGGAATGCTTCACCCTCATTTTTCTTTTTACGAGATCGATAATTTTTTTGAATCTCAGCTCTTGTTTTTGCCATTTTCTGAAAAATAATTTGATTGTATATATAATGATAGTGTTCCATTACCCTCTACCAGGGCGAGTGATAGATTTCTTACAGATATTCACAGATATGTCTCTAGCTAGATAGATGGTCATTTAGAGCTCAACTTGAGCCCTACTGTATATGACCATCTATCTAGCTAGAGACATATCTGTGAATATCTGTAAAAAATCTATCACTCGCCCTGGTAGAGGGCAGTGTTCCGTCCGGTATCAATGTATTTCCTGTTCTACTATTTGCCACTGCGCTCATTGCGCTCGCTGGCGATTATTTTTTTCTTTGCATACAGTAGTCTTGTTTGCCATATATTCCTTGCGAAGCAAGAGAGGCAGTACATGTAGATGGTTGTGCGGGCTGGCTGCCGCGTTTTATGTTTTCTGAAAGTATTTGATGGAATTCACATAAAATTCTTATTACGACAAAATCATAACATCGTCACTGAGGGTTTTATGGATATCTTTACACTCACCTCATCTTATCTTTAGCAGCACAGAAACAAGACTTTGTGCCTCGATATGACAGAAAACTCTGGTGTTTTTAGCCTCCAAATTCTAAAAAATATCAATAATTGGGTTCGGGTGTTTAGTTTCGTTCAAAAATTGTTTGGAATCCAATTAGCTTACATATTGAATGAAACAAGCAGTGTTCAGTCTAAATATCATTTCTATTCGTTTATATCAAAGCTAATTTCTTAAATGTTTATTTTCTTTCAACATTTGTTTCGTTGACCAAGTCGATGGCCAAATCGTTTTATTTTGGTTGTTCCACTATGTGTTTAAAATCCTGTAAAGCGTTGATTATTTGCAAGTATGTAGTTTTATTGTCACCAAAAAGTAATAAAATACATTTCTTCCCTCACTGTCAATTTTTTTGAAAACACATATGTTAATTTTTTCAACTTACTGACGACTTAAATAACGAAAGGAGTACAAGGAAGGGTACATGCACACTAGATGGAACAGCTAGTCTATTTCGAGGCCATTGATTAGGCGTGAGAACCGAAGCGCTTATTTTGGACACTCAAAATAGGAATATAGATTATTTTCATTACTTGATATACGTATCGTGTTGCAACCGAGTTGCAGGTGAGTAAGTGTCCACAACTGTAGTATGAGCACGGTACTTTTGTTTTGCAATTGTCAGGAAACATGATAAGTGAGAGGGAGACTCGGCAAGATATTGTTGTTGCACTCAGCGTAGGCATAAGAGCGTCAACACAGATTCACCGAGCGAACTGGGGTCCCCAATTTTCGCGTCAAGTGTCAACTCCCTTTCCTAATATTAAGCACGATGCAAGCTAAATAGTTATTACTGTTTACAAACGCGGTAGGTTGTTTTAGTTAACGAAGCTGTCGAATGCGGGTATATATGTGTATTGTTGTTGGTGGGTCATGCATCGGTTCCCCCTCTGCAACAGGTGGTTGAGTAATGGAGGGGAAGCTGTCAGAGAAATACCTGTATCTATTTATTAAATACCATGTTTTTATTAATGTCGATTGCTCAGGTTATGTCACAAGGATATTTGATATTAATGCACAGCGCTTCTTGTTATTGTTAACAGAATTTATATTGGATGCTGTTTCTGTTTAAATGGTTGGGTTAAACAAGACTCATTCTATATTAGTGAGTCCAACCCCCAATCAAGAGTCCCAATCAATATAAAATCATGAGGGGCCGGTTTGTCTAGTATTTCATTACTTTTGAAAGTGCAGATTATTAACATAACATAAGGTTGATTTTGCATTATGTTTGAAAACGAATATGAAATAATAGTTTTTGGAAGTCAGTCCTAGGTGGTAGATATAGGGTAGAGCTTACAGGTTTAATCTTTTTATGTACATACAACTTATGAATGTTGAGTGCAGTGTTGTTTCTGACCCCTTGTCATAAAGAACAACTGACAGACATAACCCGCTCATTGAAAGATGTTTGTCACGTGTTTGCATAGTCTTTATGGGTGTTATTTAGTCAGCAGGTCAACCTTTGTTTGTTGTTTAGCTTTGACATTACCAAAGATTTTTTCATGTTGCTGAATTCTCACAAAGGGTTATATATTTCTGATGCATATGACATCTTATGTTGTCTATATTAGAACCGGGATACATTTGACCCCCCCCCCCCCCTAAAAAAATACTTCCTGTTTTTTCCAATTTTAAATAATTCTTTAAGAAATTATGACTTGGTACAGGCCCGTAGCCAGGGGGGGGGTTTGGGGGGGGTTCGAAAGAACCTCCCTTTTGCTGGGAAAAGGTCCCCTCTGGCTAAAAATTTATCTAGGCACATGAAGGTTTCATGGTAAAAGGTCCACTTCTTCAGAAAAAGAACCCCCCTTTTGAAATTGCTAGCTAGGGGCCTGTGGTATATGAAAGAATATACAGCTAATTGTATTATTTACCTATCCCAAAAATACTGAGTATTGTATTGAAATCCATTTACATACCCATACCCATAGATATTGACAAACCCTGTTACAGTAAAGTATTGTTACTCGAAAGATAAATATTTAGGTTATCTACATTCTGCGTTCTTTAAACATTGATCTGTTTGTTCTCCTTGCAGAAATAGCTGGCGTGTGATTGTTGCGTCAACAAAATATCAAATTTTTCTCTCACCTCAGTGAATTGGCAGTTTGAGTTCAGGTATTCTGATACTATCTTAACTTGCATTATACAAATTTCTCTAGCATAACAATCTTGTCATTCTTCTAATTGTGACACTGAAAAATGCAGTGAAAATGAAGAATTCATGCGTTCTTGTGATGTACAGCCTTCTTGAATTTGATAAAGTATATTTCTTTGAGTTAGATCTAGTTGAAAAAGAAAAATTGAAGTTGGCAACATTACAATATTGCATGTTCATAGCCATGTGTATATTCCTAACACAGTCTGCCTCATTTCATGAACTGTCCTGTTGTATGGAGTGAGGATAAAAAGATAAGGCTATATATGGCAATATAAATAGAAAGTAAAACCTAAAAGATCGTGTGGCAAAGCATTCAGTCTGGGACTTCAACACAGGGTATGTAGATCAGATTTAGGGCTTTGTACTTGCAAATGACTTGCACTGCGTAGATGAGGAAGAATTGATGGTGCAATATTGGTAATGCTTGATGTAGTACAGATTGCACCAAGCTTGTCCTATTATATTCTGTGTATTATTAAGCATAGTTGAAGGCTCTTGTCAGGGCTGAGATCTGCAGTATATAATAAAAAGGCCACCCGATCTCAACTTCTAGAATGGCACGGGCTATTTACTCTGAGCACAAGCACCATAAAGGGATCAGGTCCCATTAAATTAGCTCTCTAATTGAAATGTTTGTTTTCTTTAACTGAAAAGATTGTGCTGATTGCAATTTTTGCTTTGATACCTGGGCAGAATAAATGGCAATAAATAAGTAAGGCGAGGTTGGCCTGTTCTTTTGATTCAGTTGACACAAGGAGGTGTAGGCTAGAGTCACCGGTTGGGAAAAATCTATGGAGGATTATTGAATTACAAAGCAGCGTGGGTTTGCATAATAAACATTTTTTCCTTTATGTCAGGTGCACATTGAGTTGTGGCCTATGACACGGCTTTATATCTGAATATGCATGCTGAATTAATGTAGAGGTATGTATGTCTGTATACCTGCTGGTATGTCGATATCAAAAAGGGGACACCTTTAAAAGATGTGAGGGACATTATATATTCTGAAGTGGGATGTTGTGAAATCTTATCTCAAAATTTTTCATGTCAATAAGTGACTAGTTGTGAACAGGTCAGAAATTTTTTGATAAAACTTGACAGCAGTTCAGTCTATGAAGATAAAAAGCCTCATCCTGGCATCACACTTTACCTATCCCAATGACCTATTTGTGTTTATGTTAGATCTGTGGTCCTCCACTGTGACTAAGCAAGTATCAGAGGGCTAACAATACAGCAGTGTTTACCTGAGGGATAATATACAAAGTGGAAGGCTGATGTGTTGGTTACATGGTCATCCCCTGAAAGGATCCCTAGAAAAGTTGCTCATTCATTAAAATTAACAGGGTGGAGATAAAGTGCTAGCCTACTTGCCAGTGCTAATCTTACTTCTTTTCCAATGAGTGCTTTGACAAACAGGGTTTTCTCAAGCGTGGGATATTTTATCTTATGGCATAAATATTCAGGTAGACTATCCTTTCTAGGAACTTAGTAGCTTTGCACCCCTGAAATATTTGTTTTTTGAATGAATAATTTATTTCAATTTGAGTGCATATTGTACTTTCAAACATAGAGTTTGTTACTGATTTTAATTCACCTTGACTGTTTAAAGCATCAGCTGAGGGTTACTGTTTTTATTGTTATTTTATTGTATAGCCAGCATGGTATTGGCTTGGATGTGTAGTGGACAGTATCTTATGAGAGGTTTCAAATATAATACAATGGGCCATTTTATGGCAGCCTTCACAATAAAGCTCTTTCCTTCAGAAAAGAAAGGAAATGAGTATTTGAACACAGATTGAAATCTAACTGCACTAAACACACAGCACATTCTGTCTGGAAGGGAAAATCATTTTTGCAAAATGTGTCCCTTATTGGCACTTTTCAGAACTGTAATATGATCAGTTGATCAAATATATGATTTAATGCTCTGTCTGGTTGATAATGGACTTGTATTTATTAATGTAAAAAGGAAAATATTATACAAATGCTGAATGAATGTTTTAAATCTATTAATTTGTTGCTTAAAAAGATGCCATATGTAAAATATTGTACACATTACCCCCCCCCCCCATACAATTAGTAAAATTCCTTCTTCCTTCAGGTAATTAGTCTTTGATTTATCAATCTTCTGGAGACTCATTATATTGAGAAAATGTTTCCATGTTTCACACAGAGGCATAGTTTTGGAATATATATTGAAGATGAGCAAAAAATGGTGTATTTCCATGTTAGTGGTCAGAAGGTGTGGGCTCAGGTGTGTTGGAATGATACCCTGGGGCTGTCACTGGAACCATAAAGTGGGTAGACAGCAGGGATAATGATCTTCTTATCCCCAGGGTGACTATAAACATGTTACTCTGGTATCTTACCTCAATCTACAACTTATGAAGAATAGAGCCTTAGATGCTTGTATGCTTCAAATCTAGTCAGTTATAAATCAGATGGCATGAGAGGAGAGTCCTTGTTTAGCATGTTAAGAGATATATGGTACTACAGTCAGAATTTTTGGTTTTGTTACTTGATTGTCTTTAAGAAAAGGCATTAAGAAAAATTGCCATTATTGTCACATTGAGGTTTATAAGTGTGCTAACCAAGTTTGCTGCAGATAGATATCAAAAAGAAATGTCAAGAAAGAAATAATGATGGTAATGTGAAACTATTTATGTCATATATATACTCAGATATTGAATGTACCTTTGAATAAGGAGTAAAATCCACATTTCTGTAAGTTTGGAAATTGAATAAGCATTGACAGTTATTTATGCAAGTGGACATTAAATTGGTATTTACCATATATAAAAGAGCACAAAGGAGATCTTTTTTGTTAGAGCAACGAGTCGTACCCCACAAGTTTCAAGCATTTTTTTCTGTTTCTAACATCTAGATAGTGATGTTACATGTATTATATCATGGAGATAAATCTTCTTTTCTTAGAACACTTTTTAAAGCAATAGATTACCACAAAAATACCATATAAAATTATGTGAAAGCTGCTGAAGCCCATTTGTCAGTTGTGATGTATCTCATCTCAATATAATATCTGTGTATAATTGGATGTGTCTGCAAGTAATGTTGCTTGTCTCATGTGGCGGTAAGTGGGACTGTTACCAACAATTGTTGCCTGTGAACATTTATTGTACTTTTTCCTCAAAGCTTGCTGTTACATATATTACATGGTAAAGACTTAGGTTGTGTATGTTGTATGCAAGAAGAGTTACACATAAGAAGTTCTGCATGCTAGAATCCCATTGTGTTTGTCCCGCTGAAGAATTTTACTTGTGACCTCTAAGATGTGACGGAATGTATAACTATGCCAACTTCCAGGTAGATAACACTAAGATAATCTGTTTACTTAATCAATACAGGAGCTGTCCTTAATGGAAGAGAAAATAACACTGAATGAGAAATAAATGGCAGGAATGTTCTGAATATTTTTACTTAAATTTACTTGCTTCATATGAATTAATTTAGATCAGTAGTTGGTTATCTCTCTTTGATCTTGTATTGTCTGACATTAGTTGGCAAAGGTTTCGTGTTCGTAAGTACTTGGGATACTTAAAATACTTTAGGGCAATATTTGATCAAGTGAGCCTGCCAATCTATGAAGACTCATAGGCAGGCAGCAGCATCTCTTGTGGCTACTGTATTGTGGAATTATACATGTGTAATAGTACTACATGTCTTGTTGTAACTAGTTGTAAGGTTTCATTTGTCATACAGTAAACCTTAGCATATATATATATCTGATTCAGAAATCTGTCCAAAACCACCAACCACAGACTCTATTCTCATCTTATATATTGAAATAAGAGTAAATACAGTCACTTCACTCTTGGGTTCAACATGTGAAATTTATTCTCCTCCTGCTGTAGTATTTGGCATACCTGTCCTAATACCCCTGCTTGTGTTGATAGTTACCATTTGTGTGACATGTTTGTCTGTTTTGGGGGGTAGCAGCCTCCATAAAACAAAAACAGCCTGCTGGCGTGTGTTGACTCAAGTTCTCAGGTTCACGTAATGTATGTAACAGAGGTATTTACCAGGACAGCCATCATTCATTATGTAATGTTGAAGAGAGTGAGTTCAGGTTATATGCTGCATTACAGTTCTTTGTTAGTTAGTGATGATAATTACAAACTTTGTTTTATAAATGCAAAATTTTTAAAACTAATATATGCCTTTCAGTAATACAGAATATGGTGTTTTTTTCATAAAGTCTAAACAAAAACCAGTGTCAGATTTGAAATATTTCCTCTTGGTTTATTTCAGGCTGTATTCCACTTAGCCTTACAATGACCTAGAAGATGTCTCAGTGGCAGGACCCACAAAGGCCAAGTGATCATGCCTATCTGCAGGGATATGAGAGGGACCCCCAGGGATATGGCAGAGATCCCCAGGGATATGAGGGATATCCCCAGGGACAGGATATACATAGGCCTGGCAGCTATGCAAGTTATGAAGGATCTGGCATGAACATGCCCTACCAGGATCAGGATTCAAGATACCAGGGTAATTATAGAGAAGACTACGGAGGCAGTTATGATCAACAAAAGGCTGGAAGTTATGTTGATTATGCAGGAAATTATAGAATGGATAATTTCAAAGAACAAGACACAAGGAGTTACCAAAACACCGATATGTACAGAAGTCAGGATCCACAACGGCTAAGTTATGCCAGCTATCAGGGTTCTGGCATGGATGATTCTAGGGGACAAGACCCACAGAGGGCAAGTTATGCCAGCTATCAAGGTTCTGGGATGGGTGATTCTAGAGCACAAGATCCACAAAGGCTAAGTTATGCCAGCTATCAGGGTTCTGGCATGGGTGATTTTAGGTCACAAGATCCTCAGAGGCTTAGCTATGCCAGCTATCAGGGTTCTGGCATGGGTGATTCTAGAGCTCAAGATCCTCAGAGACTTAGCTATGCCAGCTATCAGGGTTCTGGCATTGGTGATTCTAGAGCACAGGCTCCTCAGAGACTTAGCTATGCCAGCTATCAGGGTTCTGGCAGGGGTGATTCTAGAGCTCAGGATTCCCAAAGGCTTAGTTATGCCAGTTATCAGGGACCTGCCATGGATGATTCTAGAGCACGTGATCCACAGAGAAGTAGCTATGCCAGTTATCAGGGACCTGGCATGGATGATTCTAGAGCACGTGATCCACAGAGAAGTAGCTATGCCAGTTATCAGGGTTCTAACATGGGTGAACCAAGTGCTATGCAGGAACCACAAAGAACATCATCCAATTATTATGATCCACAAAGACCTGGTAGTTATGCCAGTTATCAAGGTTCAGATGTGGATATGCCTAGGTATTCTGGGGGTCCACATGAGGGGACACAGGTCAATCTAGGGTATTACCAGGAAAGGGAACCTGCAACACAATATTATGGACATGGGGAATCAGGGGACCCATTTCCAGGATATTATGAAGATTCAGAAGGTCAACCTCAGTACCCAGATGATCAGCCTTCATATCTTGCAGAAAGTGTCCCAGGATCTTTAGCTAGAGGGGACAGCATGTCACACTACACAGGGTACTTGAATGCACGGGACCAAGAGTCATATCAGCAACAGGGCCATGCCCCACCTGAACCACAAATGCATCCAGACCCAAGAAGGGTGTCTGGGACTTATGACCCAGACATACCCTCTACAGACCCACAGGAACCAGACTATGAAAGGGGACCTGACCCATATACTACCTTGCCAGATCCTAGAAGGCAACAGCCTGATTCAAATAAATGGAATACTCGTATGGATTTGTCGGTGGATTCTCGCCAATCACCTGCAAATGTCCCACAACCTTTGGATGCAGGGCAGATGAATCCCCCAACCCAGGATGCTCCAAGAACTGCCCCGGACTCCAGGTGGAGTACCCGCATGGATTTATCCAGGGAGGCACAGGGTACCAAGACGCCAGAGCCTACAGATTCAAGATGGCGCTCCTCCTACACGGACTCTCCAAAAGATTGGGAATCCAGAAGGGGGATTCCAGCAGAAGGGCATGGCCCAGAACCACTCACGTATCCAGATCCAAACAGAGTACCTGCCTCTCAAGGGACTGAGCCAGTCAGCTATCAGGATCCTAGGAGAACATCTCAGTCAAGCCGCAGTGTTCAGCTTGATGATAGCCGGGTGACAGCCCCTACAGATGCAGACTCCACCACCAACATTCCGCGTATTGAAGACCCCAGTGATTATTATCCACAGAAGAAAAGAATAGATACTACAACCTGGGAGAGTTATCATCAGGACATGCCTGCCAGTCCTGGGGACACCAAGTTTAGACCTCATGATCTCCACAGGCAACAGTCTACTGGCAGTTACCCTGGAGATACTAAACCACCTGCTGATGATTCATTTTCTTCCAGAGAGGGGGGTTCTAGTGGGAGGTCAATACCCCAAGAAGCCTCGCCCCAGCCTATTCCTCCCAAGGGATTTAGGAATACCCTAAATGATTCCCAAAGGTCTACAGGTTCTCTGAAGCCCTTGCAGCAACCTGATGCTCGGAGCAGCACGTTAGATGATAGTAGGTCTAGAACACCCAGAAAGGATGAATTGCAGCGGAGATCTTATGCTTTGGATACCACCCCCAGCAAGCTTCAGCAGTCCCCTGCCTCCAGGAGATCCACTCCCCAAGACAGGCTTAAGAGGAGTGTTTCTAATGGCTTGGAAAATGAAAGTAAGTGGAAATTATGGTTTTGGTTTTGTGTTGAATTTAAAGTGTTGTATATTTTAAAATTGTTTTCAAAAACTTGGTTTTAGATCATGCTTTGATAAAAGAATTTGGGCCTTCACACTCATGTTCAGAAAATACTAGAGGACAAGAAAAAATTTATCAGATTAATCAATATCATAATTGCTATGCATAACGAAATAATGCCACTGGTTAAAACACAAAAAATACCCATATTTCTTGGTAGATAGCCATTAACCCCAGGTTATCTGGGAGGCTCCCATTCTCATAAGCCATAAGGAGGACTACATAAGCCAAGGTTCTTGTATTGAAAAGCCTGGCTAATGGTTTCTTAATGCACAATTTGCTTTGCATAACCAGTCCCCTAGCACTGGCTTGTCTGATAGTGCTGCCCTGTTGTGATGGGTGCTCCACTTGAATGGGTATACTTAAAAGAAACCAGAGGGGAATATTGACCCACGCTTGTATAGGACACTGGACACTGGGCAGTAGACATAACATGTTGGTACTAGTACATGTCAAATTGGGGGTCACTTAGGATGGAGAAGTAGGGGGAGGGGGCTTGCTAGAGCAATTCACTCTAAAGCCAAAATGACATACTTGCATGATAAAGAGAAGTTATGAGAAGTTGGCATGGCATTGCAGCTCAAATATATATGATATATGATGTACATTTATTGTGTGTTAAGATAAGGGTGTACTGTATATAAATGCCAGGTGAGGTGAAATCATGTACCTTATTGAGAAAACTGGACTTGTAAGATTTTACATGAATTTTTGAAAGAAAACTGAATTGTATACATGAAGATAAATTTTGTCTAAATCTTGAAATTTAGAGGTTTGGGTTTAATTAAAGAAAAAGGCATTGAATAATGTAGATGAGGTTAAGATGTGGCCAACAGGGAGCTGTAATGTACACATGATACAGTCAGTCACTTTGGTGCATATATTTGAAACAAATTTTGAATAAATCTGATGGGAATCATTCTTTGGCATCACCCTATGAATCCATATAAAAAAGTCACAAAAAAGCTTTAATTTAAAGCAAATGCTCCATAAATAGCCAGCAGATGTGATTTCTTAGGTCAGACATTGTTTGAGAAGCTCAGTACATACCAAACAGGCATTTTCCACTTGCAAGACACCTGTATTTACCTGCTGGCCATATCTTAGCACTGTCTGGCATTCTTTCTCTTGGTTCTTTGTATCTGAAATCATTAACAATGGATTTCCCACCTTGACCTGTGCCTCTTGGCTAGAACTCCCTCCAAAAGCTTGGGTAGATTATATAACTGCCCCAGACAGGGATTTTGAATAAATAGTACAATATGAATCTCTTGTACAGCAGTGTAAGTTAAAATTGAGTTAAAAGATGATGCATTTATTTTTTTCAAATTTTCCTGGAAAGTAGATCACAGTAAATTGAAGTTGAACAATGGCTAGAAAACACCCACACATGATAGGATTAATATGTTTTAATGTCTAAACCACCCAACCATGTCTCCCCAATGTCAGGTGAAAAATTCCATTGCAGTGACATTTATGATGATGTATCCCAATTATATGCATCTTATCTAATATAGCAAGTATTTCCTTATTAGATAGTTAGGCGATGTTATATTAAAGCTTATGGGATCATTTAGGTGAGGTGATACATAGATGTTACTCGCCATGTATAAATGAAATATGATATATTTCATATTTCATTTATACATGAAATATGATATATTGATTTAACTCTTTTGAAGCAGTTGCTTGTTGGTAATTATCTTTATTAAAAATTGTTGAAAAGAATAATATGTTTGTGCCAAAAAGTGCATTTTAGGAAACTAAGAAAAGAATAAGATATTTGAGTAAGTGAGCCTCTAAAACCTACAAAAATAAAAAAGAAAAGAAAAGAAGATAATTGTCATTGCATTGCTGTATTTGCAGTGCAACGTCCTTTTATATTTTCAGTGAATGTATCACAGTCCTGTGCTGTTGTTTTTATAGAGCCACTTACAGATTCTGAGAATGCAAATTACTTCCACATTTAATGTATTAGTTAAAAAACAATTTTTTGAACTATTTTAAACATAGTAATTATTTTTGCATTTCAATCTTGGGAGAAACATTTGGGCATTTCAAGCATTATTTTTGTAGTAATTTTACAATGTTGAAAGATAGATAACCAAAACAAGTAAAAAAATATACTTTAAATTTAAAATCATAGAATTATCCCTTATCATGCCAGCAATATAACACACAGGAAGGCCACTATGACTGTATTATCCATGTGATACTTCTAGCACTCTGGCAATACAGCCTACAAACAACACATACGGCTGACACCTTACCCAGTGGGAAAGTGTCACCTTGGTTGTTGTGGGGTCATAGAGGTTAGCCCCACATAAATCTCAACTAATCAGACCTCAAACCCAACACAGAAACCACAGACAATGGTTGAATGGAGAAAGAATGGCGGTATTTGTCATCCATGAACGAGGACGCGCTGAAGACGCTTTGTAGCTGTAACGATCCCAAAGTTGTAAAATGCATGGATGAGCATAGGGAATACTATATAGCATCAGGATGGCTTTGAATTGGAGTAAATTCGTTTCTCATATTGCTGACTCAAATTTGGGTTTTACAAATGAGACTGGGTGTGGGTATATTGTACTGTCATGAAGGATCTCCTTACAAATTATGCTAGAGTTTAAACATCTATTGAACTAAAAGAGATCACCAAAGGACCCACTCCATGCACATGGCCATATATAAAAGTTACTTAACTTAAAATTCTATTCATACCAGCCCCTTATGCATAAACACAGTTTTTAACAGGACCGTTTCATGCACATTGGGTACCTCCAACAACAGAAACTCATTTATCAACTGAGATTTGTCAACTTAAATCAGTCTCTGAACAGATTTGGGAAAACAGTAGGGAGAACTAATTAGCAGTTTGAAAAACAATAATGTAATTTGATGGAAATCAAAGTTCATAATTCAGTGTTCATGTACAGAGTTTCCTGCGTTTGCCCTTAGATTGAGGGTCTATTGAAATTTGTTCTCTGTAACACCTGCTCACATTTTCTGTTTCCAGTGTAAAACTATATTCTAGACAGAGAGACCATTTCTGGGTAAAAAAGTGTGCGTGCCAAGACCCCAAGACTGAGTGCTGTTTTTTTAACCTGCATCACAGAGTGATTCCTCCTCTCCCCATCACCATCATTGAACTGTATCTACTTAATATAATTTCTTCCATATTTTACAGTAAATATATCCTCATTTATATATATATATTTTCAGTTTCCAGTAAATTGGGAGAATGATCTATGTTGACTTCACATGCAAAACTGATTTTTTTTCAAATTTGTGTTTTTGGTAATAGATTAAAGTGGTGTTTTTCAGTAGTGGAAATGAGCTTAGTTTATGTCAGAAAGTAATTTTTTTTACTTAATGTTTCTAATAAATCTTGAGAAAAGTGGAATATTAGAAAAAGTGAGGTGTTTGAAATTTATGAGTCAATGCCATAGCCATAGAGCAACTTAAAACAACTTAGCTATGTAGTCATAACTATGCAACTGCCAGGTTACTGAGGTATGATTATCTTATCAAAATCTTCAGTCATCACTGGATCTTATCTATTGGGGGAGAGGAGGAGGGGTGTCTTATTCTCTAACCTTTCCGTGATTATAGGTGTTTTGATTTTCCAATGGTAAATCTGAGGTGAGACCAACTTGGTGGTTGGTCACCATGACATGTACTGAGGGTTGGAGGCCTCAAAGTTTTATGAAGGTCATTGATTTAGTGGTAAATTAATTATTTGGTGAAACAGACAAACAAACAAAATTCTCCTGTGGTTGGGGGGGGGGGGGAGTGGAAGGGTGAAGTTGTTTTTGTATTTGATTGTAAGGTACAGGCTATGTACTAGTAAGCTGGGAAGTGATAGATGTCGTGAATAAATACTGTTTGATAGGAAATGAAATGCAAAGCCCTTTTTGACTTTTGTGTTAAGCACATTGAAATCACTACTGAACTTTGGTTTAATGTATTACTATCAGAGATTTAGTATTTATTTGTTTTTTACTGAAAGTGAGATAAAACGTGGCTGCACTTAACCTTTGTTGAACTATAAAATTTAATGGCCTCATTGGCTTATGAAACACAAATAAAAATGAGTTGATATGTGCCTTATAGAAACTAAAGTGCACTTAAAAGCATCTTTCCAAAATGATGATATGCCATGCAATGAAATGAATTACTTTAAAACTTTAAGTTATTGAGTTCAATTGGAACATGGATAAAGTTACCAACTGCTTCATTCAAGCTAGATATTGAAAGAGATTTGACTTGATTTCAACTGTATAGGTTAAAAGTTACTAAATGATTTGAGGTATTACTTATATCTAATTTAATAGCCATGTGCCTGTCTATTGAATTATAGCTTCCATTTATCCTAATGTACATGGACAAGATGGTATGCAGTTCTCACATGTTAAAAATTCACTTTGCTCATGACAAAATCATGAAAGAGTGTGCTGTTTTGATGAACTTTCTGATTGTATTACTTAAAGAGCAGCTTGATTAGATTGTTTTGAATGATTCAAAACATGGAAAAGTTTTCCCCAAGCTTTGGATTTAACCAAAGTATAATTTGACTTTGTTTTGCTCTTTTTATGCAAAATCTGTAAATATGCTCAAACTGTTTTACCCAAAGTGCCCTTTGACTCCATTGTGCTCTGTTACTTTTTCAGCGCGAGTCATGGAGGCAGCGCAGATAGTGGATATTCTAAGGAAGAAAATTGCCATTTTGTCTGGTAAGTAAAAAGAAGTTTTCATGATTAATTTTGTTATATGATCACAATACCTTAATTTTCAGTAGAAATTAGACATTTGTGCATTTATGACTTAGCAGTGGCATTAAACACTTCATATGCACTTGGATACATGGTGGGTATACATATACTTGTGCATTAATCTCTCCACTCAAAGAAAATGACAAAAATCTAAGCACATTTTCTCTACATTTTCCCACGCATTTTGGAAATAACATAAATTACTGAATAATTTGCAAAAAAGCAGTGGTAAAATGTGTATGGCATCTGGCAATGCTGGTACCAATGAACAGAATTACACGTAGTTAAGTTGTGTAGCTAGAGTTTTTTTCATGTCAGCTGTTATTTTATGTAAAAATCTAAATTTTATGTATTAATTTACAAAAATGGGTCAAACATGATCTTTAAATGAATATCTAGGTGAGAACAAAGACTATAAATCTTTAGGGCATTCTCTCATTCAAATTTACAATCCAAGATCTTTTATTAAGTGGCATTCCTACATTCATTAAGCATAATAAAGTGTCAGACAACAGGTTGAAATTATGGGCCCTGTGTCTCTAATTGCACATCTGCTTACTCAGGCGCTGTGGCCTCAATGCTAGGTGACAGTGTAGCACTTGTCATATCACTTTGATATCAGTGTTGTCCACACTAATTAACAGGGGGACAGTCTAGATCAGAGCTGAGATGAAAATGGTGCTCAAGGCAAATCAACCGTGAATATTCCCCCTTGGTCATGTCTTTTACATCTGTTAACTACTTGCACCTTTTCATATGTGCAATTTATTTAATGACTTTATGATAACATGTCTGGGGTAGTACTAACACCCGCCAATTTAGCCAAATGCTAAAACTGGCTGAAACTGGCTAAACAGAATATGGTTGATTTGATTTGTTTTAGTCAAATTTAAAGCATATGGAAGAAAAAGTGATGAAAAAATGCTAGCCCAGCATGTGTGTGTGTGTGTGTGTGTGCGTGCGTGCGTGCGTGCGTGTGTGTGTGTGGTAATACAAGACTGACACCTCTGGTGATTGCAGTGAATGAGCACCAACCAAGGGATTGTTTGAATGGGCCTTGATGATAGAACTTGCCCAATGGTTTTATATCTAGTGTTACTGAATAGCACTTAAGATATTGTATCCAACAATGTTGATATCATTGTGGAAGAATTATCAGGTCTGGTGAATCATCAAAGGATGTGATAACCCATACAGAATGATTTCACATATCAGTTTTAACCTAGACATCCCTCATGCCTATCCATATTAATGCCTAATTAAATCATAGCACTTAAAAAACTACACAGTGTGTTTTTTTAATGGGGTCAACCAGAAATGTGAAAATGGCTCAGAATCTGTTTGCAAAGTTGCACATTGATAGAAGGGGTGGGGTGGGGTGTGTGGACAGGTAGAAATATATGCAGCCTGTATTTTGGCTATGGAATTAAAGAAAACTTCATTCCCTTCTGCTTAGTCTTAAGTTAGCAAGCCAAAGCTGTTCACCATGCAATAAAAACTTCATTTGGAATGTGGTAGGCATATGATGTGTAGGAATGAGACACATTGTTGCAACATGTTAAAATATTGGTTGTGAAGAAATACAACAACAAACGTACTCTTATATTAGCAGCAGGTAATGAATTGTTTTGATTTATGCATATCTGTTTTTAATTTTCAAAAACCCACACATTTCATGTGCCAAAAGGTGAAGTTTGCTTAAATTTGTTTGAGTAAGCTAATTTTATGATTTTGATTAACCTTGCTAAAGAAAGGGACCCTTTACTTATGCATGTGGTAGTAATGATTTTTTGGGAAAAAGATACGATTTATTCATAGTTTCATACAGGATTGAGAGAAAATACATCTGTTGCAGCATAGTGGAGTATTTGTAAAATCGGTCAAATCATAACCCTGTCTTTTTACAAACAGATAAAGAGGCACGAAGAAAAAGTGTTGTTGACAGAGATTTCCTGAAATTTTGAAAGTTGAAAACCTCAGTAAATCCCAAGATGATCTTGGATTTTAAGTCCAGGCTGTCAATATAATGGAGAAATGAATTAGAGAAACTGGATAAACTTTCTCTTTAATGCTTGACTTCTCTGAACCCTCTGCAAACATAGCATTAGTTAGCCAAACTGTTTAGTCGCTGATATTGTAAAGCTTGTTGTGGTGGTGTTGATACTAGAGTGCAAACAAGCCATGGGGGCAGTACACAGGGTTCGGGAGGTTATCCTCTCTGGTGTGTACACAGGGATAAGGTTGTGCTGTGTTATAGTTCTAGAGGTGATAAGGTGCAAGTATCGGCAAAAACTTATGAAGACTAATTGTCTTCACAAGTAATGGCATACTAAGTGACCAGAAGTAAATCTGTTTTGATGAACAAGGTGTCACAGGTCTCATTTCCTCACTTTCTGTGGTTTGTGTACTGTGGTCAGCAATTTTTTCGAATGTAACTGATCCACGAGCCAAAGTTGTTGACTTGGTTTTTAAAACTTTTCTAGAAACTTGCTGTCCTTTTTGTTTAGGCTCAACTGGAAAACTAGGGTGTGGTTGTCGGAGTAAGGTGACAGTGGTATAATGTCTTTTTATCCTTGACAAGAAAAGTAGTGCATTTCTGCCCTGTCTTTCTCATGATACCTGTTTTTTTACCACCTGTCATTTTAATTAAGTATTAATTGGCCTTCTGTTATTTGCAAAAATGAACAGGTGTTTTCTGTTATAAAGGTGTGAATATGTCTGTTTATGTGTGTCTTCAGTTTAAGCTCACACATATGCTTTGTTTTACCAGTGAATTCATTAGTTTGGAAACAGTGTATTGTGTTTATTATCTGGTTGTTTGCTACTTGGTGCAAGGCGCAGTATGAGGTAATTTTAAGGTTCTAAAAAGGAAGGTTTCAAATATCGTTTAGATGTCATGTTTTGGGTGTCACATGTACAAGATTAGATGAAAACACCCAAGCTGGCAGTGTTCCCATCCAGGTTGACAGTCTTCCAAAGCCACTTTGAAAATAAACTAACCTAGATTTTTACATATGCAGTGTCCTTGAAGAACACATTGACAGTCTTTTGGAAGGACCCAGAAAACAGTTTAAATCTGAGCCTAATTTGTCTTAAACGGTTCACAGAGTTTGAATTTGTAATATCAAATAGTACTGATTCTACACATTTATCTGACAGCTATGACTTAGATTTGGATTACCAAAGATATCCTTTTTTGTATTTTACTCAGAAGTTGAGGAAGTCTGTTAAAAAACTATTTAAAGTTTTAAATATATTTATGTAATTAGTCACTTTCATTTAACAATATATCAACGATAAACCCAGAAACCTGTACATCTGATAGCTCTGGTCATATGTTATATGGTGTGTCAGTGGACAAATTGAACTATTGCTTGACAGGTAGATGGTGTTTCTGCCTACTTACTGTAAGAGGCCAAATTGACATTATGTGTTATTTGAAATTTAAAAGATCTCATCATGTCTTTAAAAAGGCACTAAATCAAGAGACAGGGAATGGTTTCCAATCCTGTTATTTATTTTATTGTTTTATGTATCTGTTGCCATAAGGGTATGTTTGTCTGAGTGTGTGAAGTTGGTATGTATATGCATACATGTATGTTTATCAGTCTGTGCCTTAAACTTTTCAGACCATAAGGATTTGTGTACAGTATACAGATCTCAGATAACTAACAGTCTGAATCAAAGTGATCTAGCCCAGAATTATATCTATAAATAATGAAAAACAGTCCAAAGACAACCCCCCCCCCCACCAATTTTCCATTATAAGTCAGGTACCTTTTTTTTTTCTAGCATGACAACTAATATTTTAATCCTATAGGCTGTGTTTATGATTGTACACAGTTTAGCCCATAAAGAATAATTTTTTGTTGTATATTTCAGGTGGGCGGGACAAGCGAGGTGGTCCCATCCTGACCTTCCTGTCCCATGGTCCCGGCATCTCCTATAGTCCTCAGGATATCATGGCATGTGTAGGCTATCTGGGCAGAATACCTAGGTACAGTATTTACTGGTATATAATATTTGAAATGTGTGGGCTATCTGGGCAGAATACCTAGGTACAGTATTTACTGATATACGTATAATATTTAAATGTGTGGGCTATCTGGGCAGAATACCTAGGTACAGTATTTACTGGAATATAATATTTGAAATGTGTGGGCTACCTGGGCAGAATACCTAGATCATATATTGTACATTGTTATATGATATATAAACATGGTGGGCTATCAGGGCAGAATACCTGTGGTGTTTCTTGCATGCCACACGCCACATTCACAAATGAGCCATAGTTGGATGACATGTACAACATTTGTCATCAAGGTGTATGCGACTTTTCTCATACATTGCATTTGTATATATCATATTTACTTTGCCTACTGGCACTGTGTCTGCACCTTGTCAACTGTAATAAGTAATATATTGTGATTCCAGTGAGGACTGCTCCAGGTATGGGTTCACAGTGATAGTGGACAACAGGGAGGGCACCTGGACAGATGTCAAGCAGCTCATTAAGCTCATACAGGTAATGTGATATGAATATTTGACAGGACTATGATTCAAATATTGTGTTGACGTGCATTTTTTATGATATGTTTTTATCTTCATCAACTTGGGTTCATTTTTTTAATTGGTTCGGGAGGGTTGCAAACATTTTGGTAAGAGTTTGAAAGAAAAAATCTATAATGTAAAAATTAGCATAGATTTGAATATTTTTCTAGTTAAATACATATTTAAAGAGTGTATTTTATTGTTTGTTCATACTAATAATTTACATATGATATATGATATTTATGTATTAAGATGTTATTCCAGCAATCCCTCCCCAGTCACGTCCATTTAGTCCTGGTTGTGAAGTCAGAAGACAAAAGACAGTTCAATCTCAGCTTTAGAAAAGACAAAAGTGCAAAAAAGGTTGAGGTAAGAATGCACGTTGGACCCATTGTATAGAAATTAATCAGCAGATTCAAATCAGATTGTTCAATTCTACTTGTCAAAACAATACATTACTGTTGATACTAAAAAAAAAAAAAAAAATATTCGAATATTTTTGATAAGGGACATTGGTTCATTCGGTCAAAAATTTTTTAAAGGGCCACTTGATGGACCGATTTTGAAAAAATATGTAATGGTATTGCTGTTCAGATAAGCAATCAGAATATTGCTATTATTTTTGGGATATGTTATCAATGCAAGAATCACAAATGTATAAAATAGCTAACTAGATGATACTTTTTTCTATGTAATGTCACAATATTAAAAAGAAAATATATAGTAAGGATCCTTTTCACATCATTTTACCATTCCACAATATTGTTTTTCAATCGTATTTGTCATATCTTCATAAACCATAAGGAAAAAATTAACGTCATCTTGCACTGATTGTTGGATTAGTATTGTCAAAAAGCATTAGCCAAATAGAAGAGAAGAAAACACTGTGGAATGACCTTATGATTCATCAAATATTATGGATTTGACAACTCATTATATTGACTAAAATGGTTTCTTTATTCATGTTTTTAGCTGCTGTTTGTTACCCCTACCAAGTTGCTCAACTTCATCACTCGAACTCAGCTTACTCAAGACTTTGGGGGAGATTTGCAATATGACCACAATTCTTGGCTGGAAACACGACTGGTAAGAAAAAAACTTTGATTTGTAGCATGATAATATTTTGGGTTTTTTTTGGTAAGAATTTGTTCTTGTTCTGGAAGGGTTTGGAAAATTTCATTTCAGTGGATCTTGTCTTTTGTCTCATACTTTTTTGGTTAACTACATTGAGAATGAAACACTGTAAAAGGTTGAAGAATGTAAATTTGGAGCTTAAGTGAGTTGATTTCCACATAAAGGCAACTTTGATTACCCATGCATCTCTTTCTTTGCCTCTCTGAGCTGGAGCTTGAAATGTCAGAAGATGCTGGGAATACTCTGTTTCAATAGTTTTATCTCATTTTTGCTGTTGTTTACAGACTGAAACCAAGAAAATCAAAGGGTTCATGACATTAAAAAATGAGTATCAAAGTAAAGTGAACTTTATTTGAACTGCTGAGAACCCTTTGTTTTTTGTCTAATATTTGGATTCTGGAAATGACTTAAAAGTATTTATTCCTATATCAAGAGAAGATTTGAAAATTTGTGTGTGGGGTTTGTGAAATACGAGTCATTTACAGGTAGAAAAGTAACAAAAAGTTTTAAAAAATAACAAAAATTACAAATAACACCCTGTATCTTGAGAAGTTACCTTATAATCTCTGTTTGGTGCAGGCAGTGGAAAGGTTCCTGAGAGAAGGGCGCACTGTGTCTAAAGACTTGGATGTAGCAGAATCTCAAATAGTGGTGGCGCTGCAACAGCAAGAGGAGCCGTCCAGTCCCAGAGACATGCTTCACCAGCACAGACATCTCTATGATAGTGTCATTAAAACTCCTGAGAAGGTTATTAAACAAGGTAAAAGGGAATCATTCTGTTTTTTTTTCTTCAGTGTTTTTAGGATGGCATATTTTGATTCACTACAATTCTGATGCCAAGTTGCATAGGTGACTTTTTAGTGGACATCGGTGAAGCAGTGGATATGTACTCAAAGATGGGCTTCCATACAGAATCTCTATTTACTACTATTTTAATGATTTATTCAGTTATTTGGGGTTTATGCACCTAGGAAGCTAGGTATGTATACAATAAGAATAAGGCGTTTAAACCATAACAATTTATTTTCAGGCCATGAATTACTCCAGAAAATAGCTGGAGATGCAGAGTCAGGTTTCCGTGGCATGGATGACATCACAGCGACTCCAGACATGATGACCGCCCAGGGTCAAGTGAGGCGAATGTTGGTTACCCTAGAGGACAAGGTGGACAGAATACAGGACTACTGGGAGAGCAGAGAGAGAGAACTTAGTAATAATGTCCAGTTTGCTGAACTGGAAAAAGGATTTAAAAAGGTAATAATCTAGATGACTTTTACTTACATAAAACAGATACCCTTACAGGCTGATGATGACTTTTTTGGGGCTAATGAATAAGAGAAACTTTGGATATTTTTCTTTGATCTGTCATTTAATTAGTTTAAAATTAGTTATGAATCTGATACCACAAGATGAAATAAGAATAACCCCTAAAGTAGAAGATCACATGTCGTGATTGGGATTTGAGCCAATTTTTAACCCATTGTTTGATATTCAGTTTGAAATTATGGGTCTTGTCTATGAAAAGTTAGTCTGTAGTTTGTTAAGATTTTTAGTAACAATGATATGGATAGCTCACTACTGTAAGTTACAACGTTTGCCAGCAGTCTAATATGTGCTCAGCTTTTCAAGTTTTTTAATTTGGACCATTAGTTCTGCAGTCATACATGCAATTCCTTGATGTGGACTCATCCTGCCTGTTCTTCTAAACAATTGTTCTTAATATTCAGGTTGTGGACTGGGTGACAGGCCCTGCAGAAAAACTCCTGGCTTCCAAAAAAGACATAGGTGACTCCTATAAGGCAGCAGATGAACTGAGGAAAGAACAAGAAAACCTAGAGCTGAAGTGCACAGTGAGTGAACCAAAAGAATGGAATATAAATGTCACTGAACAATAATTTGGTTGTAAATGTAGGGCCATAATCTATTCAGAAAAAAAGATTAAAATGTAGTGTGTAAATTAATTATTATTAAACTAAGAGAGCATTGCTTTTAAAATATTGTTGAGCACGTACACTGACATTTCACATTTATCAATCAGGATAACTATGCTGAATATGCAGAACTACGCCACGATGCTGACACTTTGATTAAAGATGGCCACCCAGCAGCAGACGACATCAGGGCACAGACAGAATACATGGACTCTGTTTGTAGGAGCTATGCCAGCAGACTAGAGAGGAGAAGAAATCTGGTCATCACATCTGTCAGATTCCATAGGCTGGCAGAGGAGGTGGGTAGACTATGGAGGATATCAGCTTCAGGGCAGAGAGTAGTATTTACAAAATTGTTAAATGATATCTCTAGACTCCCATGGTTTGTCTGGAGATGCTTGCTATAGCTATTCATATTGACCGATATTGTCAGGCCAACAAAAGATTATCAAAAAATTGTGAAAATATTTTCTCAGTTGTATCTCTAATAATCTTCATAAACCTATAAGAAAGTCAGTATGTGAGTTAAAATAGAATGTGGCTTAATACAACATCCAGTGCACAAATGGTAACTTTGTTATATTGTGGGAAGATTCTGCATGCTCTCATATAACAGTCAGGAAAAAAAACGTGAGCTATCAGGACAATTATCCACTGACATTTTCCCATGTGTATATTTCATAGATATGTCACATATCTTATGTTGCAACTGCTGCTTTTCACATATGTCATTTCATTTTGGCTATGTTTTTATTTCAGTTGTCACAGAAGCTTGATGAGTTGTTGGAGTTACTGTGTACAGATATAGGAGCTGAGGATGTTGAGAGTGCTGAACATGAACTGAGAACACTACAAGAGAAATGTGACACTATCAGTAAGTTTTTTATATAATAACTGAAATGATAGTTATGCTAGGAGGTTTGCCTGAGATGTTAGTTACTGATCGTGGGTTTCAATTCACCTGTTATCTGCATATGTTTGGTAAAATGTCATGGGAAGTGTGGAGTTAAAGGGCTCTTGAAGCTCAAAGAGACAGGTACATGGAACCAGCTGACATCAACTCTTCTTTTAATTGACTTCAGTCTAAATGACAGTTGACAATCATTTATGCATACACCTGATCATAGTGCAATCTTTTCAATAATTCTTTCATCAGTTTTCTTATGATAAAGTTGTTTTCTGCTTCAGATATCATAGCCCAGCAGACCCTGAACGAGGGGCAGAATCTGCTGGACCAGATGGCCGTGCCTATAAAGAATGCATTTGGCAAGGACATCACTCCAGACTTCTCCAAGCACATAGAACATGTGGAGAAGGTGATTGGGGAGCTCCAGGAGAGGAAGTTGAGGTGTGATGAGCTGTCTGATGTCAGAAGGCTGAAGCTACAGCAGATACTGCAACTTAGGACTTGTGAGAGAGATGCTGATCAGGTACACCCAATACATGCTTTGTTTTTGTGTTAGTAATTAGTTTTGTGGTTAGTGACATGAAGTAAGCTAATGTTTCATCTATGATGCCGTCTTTTTGTTAGCCCCATGAAACAAGCTTTAAATATTTTGTTACATTATCTTTGTGAAATTAGGCTTTATTGCCATTCTGGAAAGAAAAACAGGTGGAAACAGAAATAGAAAAAAAGACAAAAAAGGTGAAAATAAAGAAAATACAAAAGGAAAAACAAGATCTGAATAAGTGGAATGTGAAAACTTGGAACACCTTTTTTACATTATTTCCTCTTGTGTTTCTAGGCAATAGCATGGATCTTAGAGCTGTGTGATGTCATGGTGACCACACATACAGACATGGGTAAAAACCCAACGGAATCAGAAAGACTGCAAGACGAACACAAGAAGTTTGAAACAACCGCCCATGGGACATATGAATATGGAAAACAACTCTTACAGGCAGGACTGGTACTTAGGCGATCGCTGAGGTTCGATCTTGTACCAAATAATGAGCGTGCTCAGAAATTGCATGAAGCATGGAAAAAATTCTCTCAGGGGATCAATGAAAGGGCATCTCGCCTCTCCAGTGCAATTTTATTCCATAAGAATGCTGACAGGGTAAGACTTGAATTGCATTTTAGTCATCTGATTTTGTATGGGTATTAGGGAAAAGTCTACAATATAACCATCAAAAGTTGATCCAGCAACATGATGTTGTAATTTTTTGTATCTGACAAAGTATTTTTTCTTATGTGGCCTTATTGTTTTGTCTTGTTGCTTGTTTTAAAGTTATATGTTACTTTGTGTTGCAGGTTTTTTTTAAATAATATTGGCTTTTTATATAAGGAATTAATGTTTTCATGATAATTGTCTGATTATCTTTTAGGTTTTAGGGGACCTAGAAGACCTCTTGCTTGCTGTCAGTCATGCAATGAATGATGAGATTCCACAAGACCACATTCTTGCCAGTTACGATGCAACTCGCGACCAGATTGCAAGAGATTATGACCAGGCAGTGGACATTGGGCAGTCCCTGCTTGACCAGATGACAAGGCCAGTCATCATGCAGGAAGAGTAAGTGCCTGGGCATATATATAATATTGGACACCAAGCTGAAGTAGATTTATGATTGTGTTTTTTATGAAGCTGTTTTTTTCTCCTCTTCCGTTCAACATGCAATGCAACTATTTGAATAAATTTCACAGTTCATCATTTTCCAAACTTGCAGAGCTTTTAGAAGTTGGACAGCATTATTAAAAATCTACTTGGGAATGAGGGAATAATCAGAAATGATGAAAAAATTTAGAAAAATGCAATACCATGCATTTAAAGTGAGATTCTGTTAAAAAATGAACAACAAAAAATTTTCAATTTTATTTCATTAATCGTAGTTTTTTATCAACTAGTGGTGAGAAGAGAATAGAAGTAGATGACCAAGAAGCATCGGGGGTCATTAGGTCCAAACTGTCACGATTGAACACCAAGATGAGGCAGGTGAACACGTACTGGGGGGACCATGAAAGATCCCTGCCTCAGTCTGAGGAGTGGGAGAAGATAGAGGAAGACTTGAAGGAGGTGAGTCAGATACAACTTGTACATATGATCTGGACTCATTCCAGCTTAAGAATTGCCATTAAAAAGAACAAAAAAGTATAAATGAAATAAATAAATAAATAAATAAATAAATAAATAAATAAACTGCATTAAAAAAGAAAATAAGGCCTGTGACATTTATTATTTAGAACAAATATTTTGAATTTTCTGTATCTTAAGTGAAATATCTTTAGAATTTGATGAAAATTTTCATGCTGACAAAGGCATAGATTATAATGATGTTTAAATACTTCAGATCAAGTTATGTATCCACTAAAATTTTAAAATCTTACCTCAAGGTTGATTCAGAAAGTTATCAAAATAGGCTTTAGAGACTTTGTTAGCATTATCTGAAGAACATGAGTCCTTACGGCTGCTTTTGGTTCATTTCTGAAAGAGTTTTTGCCAGTAACTGAATAAAATTAGTTATATGAAATAACAAAAGTGGCCTAATTGAGGTATTTGAATTATATATGCACTGGTCATAGGAATATTGATGGTGGGTTCTTTTCTTTTCACTTTCACTCTCTCTATATGTGTGTGTGTATGTGGGTACAGATCTGTTTACCCTGAAAAAAAAACTAGCTTAAAAGGCCATGTGTTACATTATACCAGAGATGTGTGAAATTGAACAGCACTTTGGAGCTTGTTCAAAAATGTTACTTTTACTCATGCTTCTAAAATGTTTCTGTTCATTGCAATGATGATGTACTTGCAATTTTTAAACATTGCTATCAGCATCTTCTATTTCTTTCTAATTTATAGAATATGCAGAACATTGGTGTTATATTGGGTAAAGGGATGTCTTGTAAAAATTAGTTTTTTTTAAATGTTTATAATATGGTACCAATTTTTACCTACCTGAAATCCCTTTTTTGATCATTCAGTTGATCACCAACACAAAATGGGCATAGGAAACTTTGTTGCTCCTATGTCTACCTATGGGCTAGTTGGCAGACAGTTAGGTACATGAAAAATTTTTAATGTTGCATTGTGTTGGCTGAGATTTGTTTACCAAGTGGAATAACTAACACAATGAGATTGATCTTGAGTCTGCTCAGTATTATTTTGGTTGATGATTGAATGGAAATAGTGTCGATTATTTAAAGATGCATACAAAGTCAATTTTTTGTCACAAAAACCAACCAAATGCCAGCATATAGTTTCAAGTAGTATAACTAAGAGAATTACCAAAAGGCATTGTTTAATTTTACCCGAAAATGATGTTTGAACAGATTTTTCTGCTGGCATTCTAAGCTGTATGTCAATGGGGCAGGAAAGTAGGTCACGGAAGTAGGTTAAATTTACAACCATAAATTTAAAGAAAGGAGCAGTCTAAAGGTCTTTTATGGCTGATCGAGTGATCTATTCAGTTTATCCCTTGGCATGTCAAATTTATTTGAGTCATAAAAGAATCTAATAGAAGTGGTTTACATGTGTTTCTGGGAATCCACTCTCCACCGATGCTCGGTTCGTATGTACCTTTAACATGAATTTCAGAATTGTTTTATTTTTAAAGACCGTGGCTAGAGCTTGAATACAAAACTTAATCCACAGCTTTACCAAAATTTGTAATGACACCTTNTCATAAAAGAATCTAATAGAAGTGGTTTACATGTGTTTCTGGGAATCCACTCTCCACCGATGCTCGGTTCGTATGTACCTTTAACATGAATTTCAGAATTGTTTTATTTTTAAAGACCGTGGCTAGAGCTTGAATACAAAACTTAATCCACAGCTTTACCAAAATTTGTAATGACACCTTTCAACAGATTAAAAAATTTCCTAGATTGTGCATTTGTTAGCCTAATGTTTTGTGAGGTAATGAGTGCATTCAGAAAAGCAGACTAACAGATACGCAGATCAAATATGGCAATTCAACAACAGATACGCAGATCAAATATGGCAATTCAACAACAGATACGCAGATCAAATATGGCGACTCAACTGAAAAGCTTGCTGCTTAATACCCAATTAGATGCTGAATAGATTTACGTTCAAGTATTCAAGCATTCAAGTGGGTCAGCCATATTTGATCCACGGATCTGTTAGTCCGCTGTCTGAATGCGCTCTATGTTCAATAATGAATGCTGAACATGCTTTAGATACTGATAGTGGGCTTTTCACATTAATTTTTTTTCTGTTGTCGAAATAAGCCTTAACTGACTTAAAAGGCTGCACATTATTTCACACCAGTGAGGCATTGGAAATTAAACAGCATTTTTGGAGTTTGTACAAAAATGTAACATTTACTCATGCTTCTAAAATGTTTCCAGTGGTAGTTAAAGGTTGATGATTGTAGGGCGGAAGTTTGGTGAAGATTTAGGGAAATTGGAGGCTAATATAGCTTCAGTTTAATGTCTAAGGTGAACACTTCAAAGCTGATTCAGTTTGCCAGTTTACCTGGCTGTGTGGTTTATTTCAAGAAGATGATGCAGTGTCTTGCTCATATGATTCATGGTATGATTATCAGTGTAAAATGTCTAGAAATAAAAACTCTTAAAAATTAAATTTAATAACAGAAAGTTTTCAAATCACAGATGAAAAATTGCTGGGGAAATAATGCAAGTGAAATTATAATTGCTTGTTATACAAATGAGGTATAAAATCTCTATATCCTGCAACTGGAGACTGTTGCTGGCAATGTCCTTGTAAAGGTTTTCATTGGTTCTTTTAGAGTGCAATCATGTTCAGTGGCCTTTTTTGATGCCATTATATGCCTAACATACCCTATAAAGTATAAATGACACGTGATATATATTTTGCAAGTATGTTATTACCTTTATAAAAACTGATGCTTCCAACCCACTATTAGAATGCTACTATATGGTTAGCTGAGAATTTAATTGGTCGTATAATTATAAAATAAAGACTGTGAATGTTATTGAGATTTTTGCATTCTCTATAGTAACACCACAGTCATGGCATCATTATTAGGAAAATTTATTGACTTTTGATCAATATTTCAATATTGTGCAATGGGTAGATTTGGTGACATGTCCCATATTCTCAAATTGTCCATTCTTATATACATAGTAAGGTCATTCTTACAAACCATTACCTGAAATGTTTTTTTTTATGATGTCAAAATCAGTGGACCAGAGAACATGCAGATGCAGGCTATGTTCTGTGCACTGCATGTCAACTGTGTCCAAATTCTCTGACTTGAGAAACTGGTGGAAAAAAGCAGATATTAAGTGATACAAAAGAAGCTTGTTAGACATTTAAGTTTCCATGTTTCCTGTAAGAGCTAATCAAATGTATCTTTCTTCTTAGTAGTTCAGCCTGCAGTATAGATGCCTTGGTACAAATTGGAATTATACTGTGTAATAAACAGTTAACTCATTGGTGTCCATATTAAGAGACATGACTGACCGTGTGGTATCTTTTTGAATCCGTTCCCCATGTCACAGTCATTCACATATGGTCAGGCTGTCACAACGTTTTCAACAACTTAAGTTTGTTTTTTACAGTTACAATACATTTTTGTAGGTATTTTTTATTGTTATGTTGGAATAAATTTGGTTGATGAGGAAAAAAATAGATTTCCATCTGTTTGTCCATCTGTCTGGATGTCTCACTGTCTGTCTGTCTGTCTGTCTGTTGAAAAGTATCATCTCTGAGTTATTAACTTCCTCTGACTAATGCAAGCTATGTATTCCTGGTAAATAGCTGTCTACACCAATATGTTAAAGGAGCACATAGGTAGGTGCTGTATTTACTCCAAAGCAGATGGTATTGTGCTCTACGGCATTTACTTTGGTATTTTCATCTAACCTCTCTGTTTATGAAAGTGCAAATAAACAAACACAGCAGTTATTGCGCATCTACCTAGCCAGGCAATGCCAGAACTGCCGGATTGACGATTAAGACAAATATATAAAAAGAAATTTGTTTGTACCCCACCCAAATCACACGGATAAGTAACTTTAACTTTTTTAATCAATTTTTACAACCAATTTTGTTTGTTGTGCACATAATTGATGATTTTTGTAATAAGTTTTTTTCTTATCTAATTTGCTTGCTTATCACATTATATTCAAGGACAGTTTTGACAGCTGGAGTTAACTATTGGAAATGGCATGGTAGTAAGGGCTAATTGCTTAAGGTTTTTTTAAAGCTGCTACTCTGCATTCCGCTGTCTGCTTTATCCCACTCACGTTGACAGTGCCAGTTATGTAACCTTTAAAGCATAGCCTTTGAAGAATAAGCAGTAGTTTATTTTCATTTGAAAAGAAGTAAATCATCAGTATATAGAAAAAGTTGAAAAATCATTTACATTTTTATTAAGATGTTATAGATGTGAAGATATCTTTCAAGTAATTTTCTGTGATCTTGTTAATGATTTTTTTCATTTGTGCCTATAGCATGTATCCACACCCAAGTTGATGCCTGATACTGGGCCATTTAGAGAATTCCAGCAGAGAAGAAATCTCTGTTGATGGACCATATTTGATCAAAAGCTCAGCAAACAAGTGTGCAAGTCTAAATGTTCAACATCTTGAGAGCCACAGTGTAGTGCTTGTGTAGGCTTTGTAAGGCAAACTTTACTGTAGAGTCCATTCTTATGTAGAATTATGTATGTCTGTTATGAAATTAAACATATAAATTATAGGATTTTGATGATAAATGAAAGACAAAAAGGGAATGTAAGTTTTTGACTATTTAATGTTTTGCTAGATATTTCTGGAGAAACAAAAAGTTGAAAAGGGCCTAGATTTCTATGAATAAGAAATATTGCTGAAATTCTATTCAATAAAAGAACCACAAAGAAGTAATGATCTGTTGCCAAGTGAACTGGAAGGTATATATTTTCCATATATTTCAAGTAATTAGTCTGTTTCTAAGCTAATCACTGGGCACAGATGGTTGATTATCAAGGCTAGACAGACTGACACAGATCTCTCTCCACTATCTTTATAATACATCTGCTCATAGCATCTTTCTACTCAGACCAGAAGCAGTTTTGGTAAATGAATCCA